TTCCATAAATGTGAAGAATGTAAGCAGTAGTCTAACGCTATTGGTTAGTTCTGGTAGACACTCAGTTTCCTATTGCACAGAGCTCTGCGGGGCAGGGGTGTGCTTAGCAAAAAAAAAAAAAAAAAAAGACGTATTGCTTACATTATATCACAGTACATGATAAGACAATCACTTCTACGGATTTCTGAAAAATCACACATAATTTCTGAAAGGGGAAAACTCCGGAAAGCTACTTTAAGACCAATGCAAAAAAATACATTTTTAAAATGTTGGCCAACTGAGAAGTATAAACATGAAAAGCATGAGCATGTACCGCACTCAATATTTAGTTGGGGCTCCTTTGGCCTGGATTACTGCAGCAATGTGGCATGGCATGGCCTTCAGCTCTTCTGAATTGTTAGGTCTGGTGTATTACAGCTTCCTCTTCACAAAACCCCACATATTTTCTATGGGGTTATGGTCAGGCAAGTTTGCTGGCCAATCAAGAACAGGGATAGTGAAGAACATGGTCCTTAAACCAGGTACTGGTAGCTTTGGCACTGTGTGCAAGTGCCAAGTCCTGTTGGAAACCATCCTCGACTGTGGAAACTTTACACTGGACCTCAAGCAACATGGATTCTGTGCCTATCCTCTCTTCTTCCAGACTCTGGGGCCTTGATTTCCAAAGGAAATACAAAATTTACTTTCAGAGAACATAACTTTGGACCACTCAGCAGCAGTCCAGTCTTTTTTGTTTTTAGCCCAGGTGAGACGCTACTGACACTGTATCTTGTTCAAGAGTGACTCGACCCAAGGAATGCAACAGCTCAAACCCATGTCTTGCATACATCTGTGCACAGTGGTTCTTGGAAGAACCTATTCCAGCTGCAGTCCACTCTGTGAATCTCCCCCACATTTTTATGGGGTTTTGTTTCATAATCCTTTCCAGGGTACGGTTATCCCTATTGTTGTACACTTTTTTCAACCACATCTTATCCTTCCTTTTGCCTCGATTAATAAGCTTGGACACAGAGCTCTGTGAACAGCCTGCCTCTTTAGTAATGACCTTTTGTGTCTTGCCCTCCTTGTGCAAGGTGTCATTGGTTGTATTTTGGACACCTGTCAAGTCAGCATTCTTCCCCATGATTGTGTAGCCTACAGAACTAGGGTGAGACCATTTAAAGGCTTTTGCAGGTGTTTTGAGTTAATTAGCTGATAAGAGTGTAGCACCAGGGTTCTTCAATATTGAATCTTTTCACAACATTCTAATTTTCTGAGATACTGAATTTGGGTTTTCATTAGTTGTCAGTCATAATCATCAAAATAAAAAGAAATAAACATGTCTGTGTGTAATGAATTCAATATGTATTCAAGTTTCACTTTTGAATGTAATTAATGCAATGAATCGTCATGATATTCTAATTTTTGACCAGCACTTGTATATTCTGGCATTTTCTCTACTCTGAAGAGTAATTAGAACGTGGTGAGGAAGTGGAATATGTGTAAAATGGTCCTGTTCCACATTCACTCATTCACTGCCAATCATGACTAAAGTCGTCATTTGCATTTTTTTTTTTTTTTTACTGTGTGGGCATCGGAACAAGCTCCCGCACCATGAGAATAAACATCTCAGCTCTAAAGCTGATCTTAATCTGCATACGTCACACGTCTCGTGATCAGGAAGCAAAAAATCCGGAAGCAGAAAATCCATGTGTTAGGAGATCGTTTTGGGCCGCTGCTGTAAAAAAGGTGAGGCGCGAACCGGAAAAGCTTCTGCTGATCACAATTTAACAACTGATTGTGAAAGAACGGATAACGCTCAAAATGCGCAAATTCTTTCTGATGTAAGAGGTGAGTCTCCGCTTTGATTTGGTTGTTTTGGCATCTACATCATCCTAACGCGCAACGTTTTGTGACTCTTAAATATGTACCCAGTAAAAACGGTGAGGAACGCTGGCAGCGAAGGGCTTTACTGATCAGGAAACGGCTGGCAGCGAATGAGTTAATGCCTCCTGGTTGTGGTTCTCAAATCAACAATCAGATTTCATCACAAGTGAAAAAGAGAACACTTGCAACAATAGGCAGTGGTGACATCTTTCTACTGGAACTATGGAGATAATGATCCGAGGAAACCATAAGGTCAACCTTTCGTTACTGCTCCTCTAAATATGATGAACTGATGGCTCCCTCTGCACATTGGCAAAGCAGCACTGAGATCCAAAGAGTGGTGAACCGAAAGAAATTGAGATGACAAGGTAAGAGACAGCGTGCGTCACTGAATGACAGAAACTGACGCAGACAGTGAGTGACGAAGAAAGTGAAGCCAGGTCCATCTCTCGGGAGATATTTAAGAGCTGTGTTTGTGACAAAGAGCTCCAGGGTCATAACTCATCCCGTCTGCCCACCATGGTTTATGGAATAGGACAGAAACTCTGTGACAGAGGGTACAGCACCCCCCCTCCAGTAACACAAAAACACTGGCCCATGTCCTAGGCTGCTGTACACAGAGCAAGCTGCTGACTCTGCACTTTGGGCCTGCTCAACTTCTCAACAAAAGCCCCGTTGTCTGCCTCACTCTTCCTCCCTCTATCACCCTCCGCTGTCTCTCTGGTGAGTCCCTTTATTTAAGGGTGTAGAGAAATAAAAACACTCAGTGGGAGAAAATACATAAAGTGGGTTGTAGTAAAGTAAATGGTGATTCAGAGGACAGGACAACAAACCACAGGATCAAAGATCCGACAACACAAACACAGAGTAAACAGAAAAACGGTGCTTTTGATGATGCACAGTGTGTGAGGTAAAGAGTGGAGGGTTGCAGGTATAGCTTTACTATTCCGTTTTTGAGGTAAATGCGGCTCAAGCAGTGCAGGAACATGAGCACACAGGCCAAGACATAAAAACAGCTTCATTACGGCTGCTTAGATTAACAACCCTTCCACCTGAAAACTTAACACACCAGCTTCTGCTGAAACTTCAGCAGCACTCAACAATCTGAGCAAATCACTACAGTGCAATTTTATCCAAGTGAGATACGTTCTTCCAAAAGGATGAGCCATCATTTGAAGGAGCACAGATTCACAAAATAATGAGGATACATTTGCACAACCTCTACAGAAAACATGCTGCAGGTTGAAAGAAAAACACAAATAATTCACACAGCCTACGCATCAAACATCGAGTATTAATGCGGGCATCTGCTTGTTTTTTTCCTTTGGTGGGACAATGTTGTCTTCGGGTGATTGCATATGCGCGCATCTTCGGAGGCTCAGCTGGCATAGGAAGCACATCAGAGAACAACAGCAGACAGGCAGCATGAGCAGAGGACAAGCTGAGAGCAGGTTGCTATCAGCAAGACTCATCACACTCAGATTCCCTCTCTTCACACACCCAGTGTTGTTCACAAACACTCAGAGGCTCTGAAGATTTCATCCCCATGAGCCTTTTCCACGCGCTTCTGTACTAGAAGGAAGATGGTGAGAGGCTTTTCGTTGGTTTCTTTCCAACAAGATTGGGTTAGATCTTCATAATCAGGACACCAGAATGCCTCCCAAATAAAAAACTAAAATAAAAATCAGCTGAATGAAAACTGTAATGATTTACTTAAAAAATGAATGCCACAAGCACAGTGGCTGATACACATGACTGGATGCATTATAAAGCATCTCAGAGAGAAAGTGTGCACCAGATTGAGGGGAGCAGGGCCTAATCCTCTGTTGAATAACCACTGACTGACAAGCCAGGCTTAGTACTTGTGCACGGTATTTCCAAACACAAGACATGTCAACTTTGAGGCCCAGTGCTACAGAATAAAAAGGTGTGTGTATGTGTGTGTGGAGAAAAGCTCAAACCCACACTGCCAAGTGTAATTCTGCAGCACCAACACTCAATACAAGGAAGTAATAAAGCTTAAGGAAGCATTAATGATCCTGTCAGCAGAGCAGAGCAGCAAGAAACCAGCTCAGCACTACCTGCAAGGGTCTACTTAGACCAAGGCACACAGGAACAGTAAACAAGCCTTTCAAAATAAATCTACAGCTATGCTGGGATCTCAAACATCACCTGAAACTTTGAGTTTATTTCTGAAACGCTGTCTGCCAAAGAGGAGTCATTCTCTGCATCTTCTCCCTACTTCTGGATCCCAGGGCTCATCCTGCATTCAAACCCTCAGGGCATGACGCTGGTTGTAAGAAAGCCACTGACTGGCTTTAGTCATTGAGACAAAACAAAACAGGCAAAACTAGACATGGTTTTTACACTTGGCTGGCCTTTGTCTCTGGGAAACAGCAACCAAAACCACTGAAGTGAAGGCAGTTGCTGGGAGGGAAAAGGGCACAAATCAAATGAGTACAATGAATCGAATTAAAAAATGTGGCATTAATGCACCGCTGCCGACATATCGGGCTAAACGGCTTAAGATAAGATTTCCTCTTCACTTGATATGAAAGATGCTTTAAGCATGCACGGGTAGGCTGCTCGAACACCCATGTACAGGTTGATATGAACCAACATGTCAGTAGTAAGACCGTTGTCATGGAAACAACTCAGGCTACCCATCTACTAACCCTGTGCAGCTGATGGCGGAAGAGGCTTTTACGGTGGATAACGGTAAATGTGAATACATTTAAGGAGTGCACATAAAAGGTTTGCATGAAGGAGTTTTTTGTGCAGCATGATGGGTGTGAGTGATGCAAATTTGTCCTTGGATGAAGTTAAAAGCAGAAAGTGAATTAAATGTGCAGGTCAAGGTAACTATTTCATTCAATTGCTATATTTTAATTTACACAACTCTGTGGATTCATGTATGTCATTGCAACATGTTGGAAAATTTACATGCAGCTGCATAAGACGCTTTGATCCTTGCATTACTTTATTGTATGCACGCGCACACACCCTCCTATTGCACCAGACCACCCAGATTTGACCACACTTGCAGGAGAACAGCTATGTTAGGACTGGACTACTCGTTTATTTGGGATTCTAGTAAAATCTCATTGGGGAATAGTTGACGTGTGAACTCTTACCGGTGGAGTGGTCCACTGGTCCCCCGTTGTTACCGAACAGGGCAGCGTACAGGTCAGGGTACGCCTTCTCCAGGGCCACACACAGGTCGAGGAAATGGTCGCTCTCCTTGTTCATCAGCATCTTCAAAAGGTGGTCGACTTTCTCGGCGCTAGATGAGCAGTTCTGCTCCAGCTCGAACTTGTCGAGTTGGCTTAAGGTACCAGAGACTACCAGCAACTCGATGACTCGGTCGGCATCTGTTATGGACTCCAATAAGTTCTGGTGGTACTGGTCTAGCAACTCTTTGTGCTTTGGCTCCATTGCTCTCCGCTGTAGTTCCGTAGCTTTCCCAGCTAACCCAGACGGCTCAAGTGGATGGAAGATCCCTACCGATCAAAAGTAACGAGCGATGATTGAAGTGAACTTACCGCGGCTTGCAGAAGTTCGCCAGAGCCACCACGGCATTAAGTTGCATGGGAGATCCTTTTTAATAGCATATTGAAAAAGGCACAAGAAGCCATATTTGTTGCCCAAGGCTGTTGACTGCACTAAACAGCGATGCATTTTCCCATCTTACTAACGTGTAGCAGTTCAGCTTGTTTTCTGCTTCCCCTCGGAGTACGCTGTCGCTGAGAACATTTCCTCTCCTCCTTGTATCATTTTATGCGCCCTTTGCCGAGTCAACTGCTGGAAAAACTCCCGTAACTCCGCCGCTGAGCCTCAGTTACACTGTACCCTCCGCCATGTCTGAGCAACTCAGCAGCTGCTGCCTGATGTCAATCAACGACTCGTTCAATGACCAAATATGGTCAAATAGGGCGGAGTCTGGCCGGAAACACGCCTCTTTCTTCAATGGGCGTACACACTGGGCCGTAGTACGTTGAAAATCCCAGGTGGGGAAAAAAAACATGAGAATGAAGAAAATTTCCAATAAATTTCAAGCTTTCGCCACATATGAAGCCGTTATGGTTAATGTACTGATCACGGTTATTACCGGAAATCAGATTAAAACTGTTGTAGTTAACTTCCACGATGTAGATGAAAATACAATTCATTTAATTTACTCATAAAACTAAAACTTACAAAAGCATATTCAACTATTTCTTAGTTATTAACAGAATAAGAAAAATAAACATATGCAAGAAAAAGAATAAAAGGCTTTTGCATTTGCTCTCCTAAATACTTATTTATAACAACAAATAAAAATTAATACAACAGTTTTGCAATAATTGCTGGTTACTCAGAAGCACATTCATCTTGTTGTTTTAAGAGGCCGGGATCTTTATTCAGCCAGATGTAATTTTCTATTGTATTTAGTGAATTTGTCTGGTTTTTGCCCATTTCCGTCATTCCTCTTTGACCGAAAGGATGCTTCTAAATGCAAATGCAATATTTGCAATGTACTGTATATTTAGATGTTTGATCAATTAAAGAATCACAAAGGAACTGCTCACACTTCTTAGGGAGACAGTTTTCAGTCATGTTTGAAGCCTTGAAAAGGAGCACATCCATTTTGGATGTAAATACAGTTCATTTTAGTGCAGAAATCACGTTTTTTTTTTAAGGCAGAATTTGCATGCACTACAACAATTGATAGAAATAAACATGTGTAATTGCATGTATCTGTATGTAAACACAACTAACTATATTAATCTTTATATTTACCATGAAAACATTTTATCATCAGAAGGCCAATGACTTGGTTCACTTACGTGTTTTGTTTAAGGAAAATGTCCATGAAATCATAAAGACATACTGCACAATAGCTGCATGCATCATTTTTAGTGAGTACTATATCCCCATGATAGATGAGAAATATGAGGGCGGTAGCTTCATAGTTAACGAACAATTAAATATGATGACAAATGAAATGTGCATTAAGAGAGGATATGTTGATGACGGCGGGTGCACCTTCTGCAGCTGAATAGATTGTTGGCACAGAGACAGGCGTCTGCAGCCATACCTCTCAAACCATGACCTTATTCATGCACTCACTGAATCTCACTGTGACATCTACTCTATCCCCTCCCTTCTGTCTCTCTGCCATGCTGGCTGCACGGCTTGTGCAACCATGTGCCATTCGTTCGGATGAAAAATTAATTACAATTCATTCATATCAAAGGGAAGCAGGTTTCTGCTGCTGACACGGATTGGACAGCAGCGTTTGTTCCCTTTTTTCTGAGGACATACATATGAATTAGGAGGACAGCCTAATGCTTTTTTTTATCTTGAGGGTATGAATGAATTTATTGTTTAGACAAGGATAGCGGTGTTTCTGGCTGTCTGATGATTCACTGGAAATTGTTAAACAAGATTTGTTTATAGGACAGCCTAGAACGGGGCAGATAATAGCCTTATCTTTTATTGAAGAGACTGTCAGCAAGGATATCCATCATTTATCCCGTCCCTTTCTCAGAGAGAAAATTTTATAGTTTTCTTTTCACTGTTTGTCTGAGAGGAGATTCAGCTGAATCTGTCCGAGCCAAGAACGGCACAACAATGATTTTAGGGTTTATAAAATCCACAACGTTACACATAAAGTTCATTATTTTATGTCAGAGCTTAATAAAAGAACTAAGCAAAAACAGCACATTTGTGGTTGTTCTGAGAAATGTTGTTTTCTGAAATGTTGTGTTGGTGACAGTGGCGGTTTTACCATTAGGCATAGGTCGGTGGCCGTCTGGGGCCCCCAACATAAGGGCGCCCCCTCACTCTGACAACCGGCACCCCTCTTTTAATCCCACAATGGACTATTCCTTAAAGACACCAATTCACAAACAGGAAGCGATTGTTAGTCATTCTACTCCAATCCAGTTGGTGGCAGTAATGCACCAAATTGTTATTTGCCAAGTGCCATAAGACCACAAATAAGAAGAAGAAGAAAAAAAAGCAGAAAAAGAAAAAGAGAGGCGGGAGCGTTCGTAACAAACTCGAAGCGGTAGTCAAAACATTAAGCATGAAATTGAGTTATCCTAGTGGCTCCAATAAGAGAAAGAAGCAGTTTGCTTTAAAAAAGATTTTATCTTCACTTCCAAAAGTGATGTTGTTTTTCTATGTAAACATCAAAAAGGAGCAGAAAGGAAAGACAATGGAAAATGTTTCAAGGGAGGAAAACATAGACCAAAATGGAAAATAGAAAAATAAATAACAAAGGCAAAAGCACAGGAGCACTGACAGGAAGAAGAAAGCAGAGCAAACATTGAAGACACTCAAAGGGAGAGAAAGACAGGAAAAGAGGACTAATAAAAAGTGAAAGTAACTCTTGTCAGAAGAGGGGAGAGTTTCGCAAATCCAGTTAAAGGTAAGATTGCCGAATATTTAGTGTAAGGGGCCCCATGTCTGTGTTCGCCTTGGGCCCCCAAATTGCTAAATCCACCACTGGTTGGTGATGAGTTTCCTTTGTGTTCCTCTGCCCCAGCACATGCTAAGATCATGTGAAAGAAGCCCCAGATGATTAGAAATGTTAAATCAGGCAACTCAATTTGCAGGTTTTAAATTAACTGTGAAATAGTGTTGAGCTGGACACCTTCGAACAGATCAGCGGTTTATAATCTTCACATCAAAATTGTGAATTTTGCAGAAACATGTCAAAGCATTGTGGTATTATCTTTAGGATCCAAACAATCTTCTCACATCTGACATAATTTACTCTAATCTCCATCCAAACTCTAAAGGTTAAAACCCTTGCATGTGTTTTCGAAGCCTAAAACTTTCTCTGTAATTTGTTAGCGTGACATGTTCCAAATGTATTCTTCCAGTGTGGCTTTGTGGACTTGTTTAATGTGGCCAAAGCAGCTTAACAGCTGTCATCAGTTCCACAGGCCTCCCTCCCCACCTCATCATTATTGAGTGTAGTGCAGTGAACCCACCCACAGAAACCTAACCAGCCAAGCACAGAGCCACATCTTTACTGTCGGGTGTTTTAAGGTGAAGTCAACAGGAAATAAGTGGCATAGAGCTCCCCGAGTAGCCACTCACTTGGAATTTTGCTGATAAAATGCAAGTATTCAAGTGTTACCCACTGATCTGTTGCTTTGATTGAGATGCTTTCATCATCTAGGGTGAAATAGATGTTTTCATGTGTCAAATTAATAAAACTCAATCCAGATTTTTATAGGTTTGATGCATCATTAGCTCTGCTGGTTGGAAATAGACATTTTAGTATTAATATAGAGAATGAAAAGGAGCACACTACCCTCTACTGGTGCTAAATGATCAAAATTAAGTATTTATTGTGGACATTTTTTTATTTAAGTGTTTTTATGAAAACATTTCAATTCAATTAAATTCAAATTCAATTCAAAAATACTTTATTAATCCCAGAGGGAAACTGATTGCTGTAGTAGCTCTGAATAATAATAATAATTACGTTGTCAAAGAGTTGTTGTATATTACAATGGCTGTTGGCAGGAAGGATCTCCAGCAGCGGTCAGTGTTGAGGCGAAACTGAAGAAGCCTCTGACTGAAGACACTGTTCGGTTGTCGGACAGTCTTGTGAAGAGAATGCTCAGGGTTGTCCATCATTTTCTTGATTCTCTGGAGAATCCTTCTTTGCATTATCTCCTCCAGTGGTTCCACAGTCGTCCCCAGAACAGAACCAGCCTTTTTTATTAGGCTGTTGAGCCTTTTCAGGTCCCTGCTTCTGATGCTACTTCCCCAACAGACGATGGCTGAAGAGATTACACTCTCAACAACAGACTTGTAGAAGATCTGCAGCATCTTGCTACAGACATTGAAGGACCTAAGTGTCCTCAAGAAGTGCAGTCTGCTGTGTCCCTTCTTGTAAACGGCTTCGCTGTTCTTTCTCCAGTCCAGTCTGTTGTCCAGGTAAACTCCAAGGTATTTGTATTCCTCAACCACCTCCACTTCTTCTCCCATGATGGAAACAGTGTTTGACTCCTCCCTGTTTCTTCTGAAGTCTAAAATCATCTCCTTTGTTTTGTTCACGTTCAAGATAAGAAGATTATTTCCACACCATGCCACAAAGCGCTCCATCAGCTCTCTGTACTCAGCTTCCTGTCCATCTCTTGATACACCCGACAACTGCAGAGTCATCTGAGTATTTCTGTAGATGACAGGTCTCTGATTTGTACTGGAAGTCTGAGGTGTACAGGGTGAAAAGGAATGGTGAGAGTACAGTCCCCTGTGGTGCTCCAATGTTACTGATCGCCTGGTTTGATGTGCAGTTCTTCAGCCTCACAAACTGTGGTCTGTTTGTCAGGTAGTCATTAATCCAGGCGATAGTTGAGGCCCCCACCTGTGTCTTCTGGAGTTTCTGGCAAAGTACATCAGGCTGGATTGTGTTAAATGCACTGGAGAAATCAAAGAACATGACACTCACAGTGCTGTCTGCTTGGTCCAGATGACAGTGGATTGGTTGAAGCAGCTGGATGATGGCATCTTCAATTCCAACTCCATAGCGATAAGCTAACTGCGGCGGGTCCTGATGTGTCCTAGTTTGCTTATTCAGCAGGAGTCTCTCCAGGACCTTCATGATGTAGGTTGTCAGGAAAACCGGTCTGTAGTCATCATTGACTGATGGGCGAGTTTTCTTTGGAACTGGAACAAGGCAGGATGTCTTCCACAGGACTGGAACCTTCTCCTGGGCCAGGCTGAGGTTGAAGAGGTGCTGCAGAATCCCACAGAGCTGCTCTGTGGGAGCTGCTGAGCATCTCGTGATTTTTATCTTGAGAGGCACTATAGAAATGATATTTTCTTCTTCTGCACAGGCCTTCAGTACCCTGGGGCTGACACCATCTGGACCTGCAGCTTTGTTCCTGTTCAGTCTCTCCAGCTGCCTCTTCACCTGACTTCTAGAGACAGATAGGTGGGAGGGGGAGGTAAATGGGGCAGCAGCATCTCCTGACTTGGTTGAAGACAGATTTATAGAACCAGAAGAGTCCATGACTGCGTTAGAGGACAAAGGAACTGGCGTGTGACAGGAAAATGTTGGATCAGAGGAGGATGGGATGTCTGATTGGCTGGGGACAGGCGAGGAGGATGCTGGGTTTGTTCCTGATCTGAACCTATTGAAGAACTTGTTCAGTTCATTGGCTGTGTCCAGGCTGCCATCTGTGCAATCCTCCCCCTGCTTGAAGCCTGTGATCTTCTTCATCCCTGACCAGACATCTCTGATATCGTTCCTCTGTAGTTTGTTCTCCAGCTTCTTCCTGTATGCCATCTTGCTGTCTCTGATCTTGATCTTCAGTTGCTTCTGTATACTCCTCAATAATTCCCTGTCTCCCTCCTTGAAGGCTCTTTTTTTCTCATTTAGCAGATTCTTCAGTTCACTGGTGATCCAGGGTTTGTTATTAGCGAAGCATCTCACTGTTCTGGTGGGTGTGATGTTGTCCACACAGAAGTTTATATAGTCAGTGACACATCCAGTCATGGCATTGATGTCCTCTTCATATCCTTGGCAGAGAGTCATCCAATTTGTGGTCTCAAAACAACCCTGCAGGGCTTCTTCAGCATCCCGTGACCATTTTCTCACAGTTCTTCTTGTCACAGGTTGCCTCTGAACAAGTGGTTCGTATTCTGAGCAGAGAAAAACAAGATTGCAATCTGATTGTCCCAGAGGAGGTCTTGTTTTGGACAAGTATGCATTCTTTTACATTTGCATAACACAAATCCAATGTCTTGTTTTCTCTGGTGGAGCAGCTGACAAACTGTTGAAATGTTGGAAGTATAGCAGGGAGCGAGGCATGATTAAAACGGTTACCAAGACAACACTGGTGAACTCTCTTGGCAAATAATATGGGAGACAACTTACTGCCAAGAGTTCAACATTTGGGCTGCAGAGATGACATTTCACTGAAACATGACTTGGATGGCACCATCTTTTGTTGACAAGCACTGCCACTCCACCTCCTTTTCTTTTCCCGCTCCTCTTCAGATCTCTGTCTGCTCGTACAGTCAGGAATCTTGGCAGAGAGACGCTGGAATCAGGGATATGGTCCTGCAGCCACATCTCAGTGAAACACATAACACTGCACTGCCGAAACTCTGGCTGAGTCCTTGAAAGGGCTCGGAGTTCCTCCATCTTGTTGGTCAGTGATCTCACATTGCCCTTTGGTTTTCAGTCTGGTTCGAGGAACAGCCAGGAGGTTTTCAGATGTGGATCTGAGGATCCGTGAGGTGGTGTGTGGGGATAAAAGCTCAGATAGGTAGCTTGGAGCCTAGTTGTTAAGAGCTCTATAGGTCAGGACTAAAACTTTAAACTGAATTCTATATTCTACCGGGAGCCAGTGGAGGGACTGTAAAACTGGGGTGATGTGAGCTCGTCTGCTGGATTTGGTTAGGAGTCTGGCTGCTGCATTTTGGATGGCTTGAAGGCGTGAGAGGGAGGTTTTGCTGAGACCAGTAAAAAGAGTGTTACAGTAGTCTAAGCATGATGACACAAAGGCATAGATTATTTTTTCCAGATCTGCAGTAGAAACCAGTTTACGGACTTTTGAAATGTTTCTCAGTTGAAAGAAACAAGAGCGGGAGATGGTTTTGACGTGTGAGTCTAAACTTAAAGCTGGATCAAAAATAACTCCCAGGTTTCTAATGTTGGCCTTGGCTGATGGGCAAAAAGAGGCAATTTCTTGTTCGATTTTTGGCTGAAGTTCCGGGGGGGCAGCGATCAGGGTCTCTGTCTTGTTAGCATTGAGGACAAGAAAGTTGCTGGACAGCCAGTTACTGATCTGTGTCAGGCAGAGTACAAGTGTGGCCATGCCTGTCCAACTGGTGTGGCATAAAGGACATATAGAGCTGAATATCATCAGCGTAGATGTGGTAGGAGATGTCTGGGAAAGACTGAATGATGCCAGCTAGGGGAAGAATATAGAATGCGAATAGTAGAGGCCCTAGAACTGAACCTTGTGAGACCCTGCATGTTAGAGTGGCAGTGTCTGAGGAGAAGGTTTCTGACTTCACTGTGAATGTTCCGTTAGTGAGATAGGAAGAGAGCCAGTCTAGAGCAGAACCTGAAATCCCAGCCAGGGCCTTTAACCTGTTTAGTAGAACGTTGTGGTCTACAGTGTCAAAAGCTGCACTGAGGTCAAGCAGGACCATGACAGAGCATTTCCCTGCATCAGCAGCCATCAGGAGGTCATTATGCACCCTTACTAGAGCAGTCTCAGTTGAGTGCTGCTTCAGAAAGCCAGATTGGAAGGGGTCAGAGATCTTTGACTTAGAAAACCAGGATCTGAGTTGGGTTTCAACAACCTTCTCAAGTACTTTGCTGATGAAAGGTAGCTTAGAAATGGGCCTAAAGTTACTGGTAGAGCTGGCGTCAAGGTTGGGTTTCTTTAAGAGAGGGGTCACTACTGCATTTTTAAAAGTAAGATGGAACACAGCCTTGGCTCAGTGAGCTGTTGATTATAGTCAACAGATGGACTGATAGAGGCAAGGGACCCGACTAAAACAGAGGGAGTTAAGATATCTGAAGAGCATGATGAGAGCTTCATCTGACTGATTATTGAGGTTAAGTCATTTAGTGTAATTGGGGAGAAGGAGGTGAAAGACTCTGAGCACTGAGGGGCCTCCTCTCCTGAGGGGGCGAGGGCTGGTGGAATGCTGGATCTCAGATTCAGCACCTTGTTTGCAAAAAAGTGGAGAAATCTGTTACAGTCATCAGCTGAAGATAGCTGAGCCTGCTGCGGAGAAGACACGATGCTGGAGATGGTATCAAACAAAACCTTAGGATTATTCTTATTTTGGCATATGAGGTTGCTGAAGAAAGAAGACCTGGCATTTTCTACAGCTTCGTTGTATGATTCGAGAAGTTCTTTAAAATATTCGCGATGAACAACCAGACCTGTCCTCTTCCACTGTCGTTCCGCTTTTCTATAGGAGCGTCTAAGTTCAAGAATCTGGTTGTTCAGCCAGGGTGAACTGGAGGGACTGGAACTGCGGCTGGTTTTGTAAGGGGCGACCTGATCTAGAATTTTGAGGCAGTGATCATTAAATGAGTTGGTAAGGAGCTCTACGTTATCAGAGGAAGGGGGTACAAAGTCAAAGAGGGAGGAGAAATTTAAAATGGTAGAACTGTTGATAATACGTCGTTGCTTAGCAGAGACTGGTAAAAGAGATTCAGAATTTAGGTTAATATGAAAGGAAACTGACTTATGGTCACTGAACACAACATCATTTATCTGCAGCTTATCAATAAGAAGTCCGTAGGAAAAGACCAGATCCAGGGTGTGGCCTGCTCTGTGAGTGGGACCAGACACGTGTTGAGTGAAGTTAAAAGAGTTCATAATGTTTAGGAACTCCCTAGTGGAGCTGTTAGATAGATCCTCAGTGTGGATGTTGAAATCTCCAACTATGATTATCCTGTCTAGTTTAATAGTTCAAGATAGGAGATCCTGAGAGTCAGACAGGAAGGATGAAGTAGATCCAGGTGGGCGATAGACCAGAATTCCATAAACTGGTTGAACTCGACCAATTTTAATCATGATCATCTCGAATGAGCTGTAGGAGTTTGAGGATATAATTTGGCACGAAAAATGTTTCTTAAAGATAACAGCTGTTCCTCCACCGCGGCCTGTGGTTCGTGGAGCAGAGAAGAAAGAGCAGTCTTGAGGACAGAGCTCATGGAGATGAGTGACGTCATTTTCGCGCTGCCACGACTCAGAAATCCACAAAAAGTTTAATTTTTTGGTCCGGAACAGATCGTTGAGGATGTGAGACTTGCGCGCGTTAATCAACATCATTTTCGCGGAGGAATCTGGCGATGTGTGTGCCGCGGGCTCGTTAATGGCGGGCGGCTGGCGGGCTAAGCTACGTAGCGACTCCGGGCTACGCCCGCGGAGGTTCTTTGTCTCCCACGCCTTCAGGTAGCGTCCCGCATCAGGGGCTCCATTTAGCAGCAAGATCAACCCAACTCCGTTAAGTTTCTGTTGGATCCGCCACAACACAGCCGCGGAGCAGCAATCAGGCAGAGCTTCGCCTCTCCGGATCTTTCGAAGCTGAACGAAGAAGCCGGCTCTCTTCCCCCGTTTCCTCTTCCATGGCCTCCGGGGAAGCGGCAGGCCCACAGGTAACAGAGGGCCGAGATCTGGGTTAACGCCAGGTTCCAGAGGCGGTGGGAAAGCCGGTCCGGTATCGGAGTTCTGGAGGTTGATCATCGCGGACCTGATCGACAACAGTAAGTCTCGATCATATGTTAGCAGGGACTCCGCACCAGATAGAGAAAAAACAATAAAAAACAACAAGTAACCAAAACAGATCAGGAGCCTAGCAGACGCACAGCCACTCATGGGCGCCATCTTGCTGAGCAAGACATGGTCTTGTGTAGACATGGTCAACATTTATTGCTTTAATGCTAAGTTTTACATGCAACATGAATAGGCCATACAAAAAAAAACATACACCAGCACAATTACAGAACAGAATATAGAATTTAAAAAATGACATCTTTTCACCTGAGTGCTCCTTAACTTGATTTTTTGAGCGCTGAAAAAAGCTGAAGGCCAGTTCTGGTATTTAAAGTGACTATGTGTTTTCCATGGCGATAGGGGGCAGTACATACCTAAATCACTGCAAGCAAGCGGTATTTTTGTGTTGGAGTAAGACCTTATTTACAGATGGCCGTTAAGGTCAAACATACCTGGGAGCACAACCTCCAGCAAAATGACAAGCACATCAGACTTCCTTTCATCACTGGCAATGAGTGAAGAGGTAAAAGTTCAAAACATTATTGAATGACAAATATTTTTTTTACCATTTGCTACAAATCGATGAAAGCATTTTGTGTTCATGAGCTTCCGTAGAAGGAAACATGGTGTCTAATATGGTGTGGACCAGAGACTTAGACCCAATCCCAATAATCTCACTGCGCCCTCTACGGTCTTCTGTGAAGTGCACTTGGAGGAAGTGCGCAGTAAGGCTTCCAGTGCGTGGTACACAAGTGTGCAAATAATTGCCGAATTGGGACAGGGGGTATTGCGTCATCGACCGCAACGCATGCCGGGATGGTGGTTGCTGTGATACCTTTTTAAAAAAACCCTTTATTAACAACTTTCAAACAAACAACCAAACTATTTGAAATCGATTTACATTCATTGCTGCTTTGTCTAAAACATTCAGAGCATCAACTAATTGTACTAAAATAAACAAATTTCATTAAAAAAAACATTTTTAGAAAGGGCACTTGTGACTTTTCTCCCGCAGCAATGGATTTTGGGTAATACTCTTCACACACGTGGGTGAAGAGTGGATCAAGGACCCAAAAGGGATGTGATCAACTTCCGCACTTGAGAATCGGGACACTCTACGCACTTGCACCCTGCCCAGGATTGCGCTATTGGGATTGGGCCTTAAACCCGCTCCCATAAATTTTAGACCAGATTTTTATGCTTTTATTTTACAAAGTTGCTAATATTTTTCAACAACTGGGCATTATTTAATTAATTTTCGACAACATTTCATTGGATATTTCCAGAGGTTAACGGTAAAATCTAAACATTGTCTCTTTAATATCATATGGCACGCTTAGCGTTTAAAAAAATCATAAAACTGTATAGCTAATATTCTATTTTATACTCTTAAAATATTTTATATCCTTGCACAGGTCAACATAAAAAATATAAAGCCTTTACTTTGTATGATATAGAGGTAAACAATGAACAGCAAGTACAACCGCATTAACATAGCATTGAAAAAGGTGGCAGAGTAGGTTTGCAGATTGTGTATAATGCATTAAAAAGCTAGAAAATAATCCATATACATTACATAGAAACATCTGTTTTGCTGTAAATTTCCCTGACTTGTAGAATTTTCTTAGTCATTGCCACCACAAAGTTTTAGTAGGAGTTTCTTGTAGTCTCCTGATGTGTCTCCCTAAAAATCAAAAGAATAAACTTAAGACATTTATCTCTCTCACACACACACACACACACACACACACACACACACACACACACACACACACACACACACACACACACACACACACACACACACACACACACACACACACACACACACACACACACACACTTTTATTAAAAAATGGGAGTGCTCCTAGATATGGCTGGATACTTACGGAGATGTGAGTGTACAGCGATTTTCCATAGTTCTTAATGTACTCCTGACGAATATCCAGCATGTCAACCTCAGAGCGGGAGACCATGATTCGGATCAGGGTTCGGTCTTTAGTCCCAAGCCCCTGTAAGAGTGTGCAATCACACGTATTTAGAGAACTGCATCCACAAAAGTGTTTAAATTAGTTGTATAACATATAAAAAAAATTCATGCTCCACCTTCATGGCCTTGTAAAGTCTCTCAGCAAAGTAGGCAGGTGTGTTCTTAATACACTTTACTGAAAAGAAGGGAGACATCGTTAGCAACATTGCTACTACTTTTTTGCCACACACACACACACACACACACACACACACACACACACACACACACACACACACACACACACACACACACACACACACACACACACACACACACACACACACACACACACACACACACACACACACACACACACACACACAGATAAATGAAAACATTCACAAAAGCATCTTTTAAAAAAGTTCTAAGTGCTTCTGAAGAATAAGCAGCTGTTCTAAAGACGAGGAGGAGACAAAATAGATAGAGGGTGATTCAATCCATCACTTAGGCTCACTGAGGTGCAGGGAAGTATGATCTATGAATGATGCAGCATCTTCCATCAACGAGCTAGGCTGCAAATGTAGGGTTGTTGTTTAAATCATTCACAAATTTGTCTCATCTTGCAGGTTAAATCTAAATTTTCTTTTTAAAGCTACTGACCCCTTTGAAAAGATGCTTTAGGTACAATCAGATGCATATTTTTTGCTTAGCTTTCAATATGAACATTTTTTTAACTAATGGAATAAATAATAAAAAAAACGATCTCGCAAACAAATTGTGAAATTATGTAAAATAAGTGTAAACCCACTGCAATGCACAGCACGTGAAAACGTAGACCGTAAAACCAACAAATAAATGTTAATTCAAAACACTGAAGTAATTTGGTTACTGTACCATAACCCTTAGATTTGTTGGCAAAATAAAAAGGAGAGATGAAACATGTGGTTAGCATTAAAACAGCACATCAGCCCAGCAACGTAGCACACTTAGCATCAAAATTAATGTACAGGTGCAATGTGAGCTGCATTCTTAAGATTAAACAGCGTGCACTATGAATCGTGAGGTTAGTCGTTTAATTAATGAGCAGAAAATGTAACGCTCCTAACGTAGAAGTGGTGTCCAACATAATGAACCAGTTGGCTTGAGGTCTTCCTTACCGACTGCTAGCATGCCGCTCTCCAGATCTCCAGACATCTCTCTGCTGATGCTGTTCTCAATGTCCCTGCCACACATCCTCTGGTATTCGTAAAACACTACACACACACACACACACACACACCAGTAACAGAAATTACACATTGAAGAGGGACACAATTATGATTCTTTTCCTTGAAAGTTCGAGTTTCTCTAAGAAAAGAAAACAAAAATCAATGGTTCTGGCTAGAGATGTTCCAATCACGGTTTTTGCTCCCGATCCAATTCAGAGTTATTTTACTTTAACAATCTGTCGATACCAATTCCCGATCCGATATTTTAAAAATGCATTTTCACCAGCATTCAGACATCAATTCTGTTTGCTTCACAGCCAGACAGGACAAGGGGAAAAGAAAAAAAAGGCATTAAGAAAAAAGGAGAACACACTAGCGTTGTCCTTTAAGTTGTTGTAATCATAAATGCATTTCTTTCTTTCTGTATTTGTCATTTCTTTTGTTTATCTGCCATAAAACAGCACTCATTTAGGAAGTACATTAATAAGAAACATGTTAACATTAAGAGTATATGTAAAAGTTGCTGTGTCGCTCTCATTTCAAATCGTTTACGCAGTGTGAGGCTGGTTTGGCAGACAGGGATGGCACAGCACACAACAGTCAGCAGTAGAGTCGCTCTTTTCTACTAAACACCTGTAGAGCTGCTGTGCCTGTAAAATTAGCATGAGATATCAGATAGTGCCGCGACTCAAGGAGACTGCCGAACCTGTCTTTTGCAACCACAGACCCCTTTCCAGTGTGATAAATATACTGTTATCTTGGTATTTTTGCTGTCCTTAGACATTCTCTTTTTTTTAAACATACCTTTTATTCGTGTCAGCTGGCTTATCTAAATTGCTGCAGCAATTTGAGCAGGGTCCGCTTTTTTAAGGTGGTGCATCAGATTTTCAGTGTTGAACGCAGCACTACCTTTCCACCATGTTAAATGCCCAATTAGCATACATTACACATCTCTAGTACACTCCCTTTGCTGTTTCTTTTAAAATACATTCTAATTACAGACATTTTCTTTCTCTTGAGGCGACAAGTATGCTCTGTTAGCTTACAGCTACAGTGGGTGAGGAAGTATTTAGACGCCCGTCAATATTTCACGCCTTGTTATATTGCAGCCATTTGATAAATCTATTAAATTCATTTTCTCCCCCATTAATGTACACACAACACCCCATATTGACAGAAATAACACATAATTTTAGAAATTTCTGCAGATTTATTAAAATAGAAGAACTGGAGTGGTTCGCAGCCGAGTGTGAAGCAGCTGGGATGAGATTCAGCTCTTCTAAATCAGAAAAGGTAGAATGCCTTCTTCAGGTCAGGGATGAGGTCATGCTCGTGTGGAGGAGTTTAAGTATCTCTGGGTCTTTTTCACAAGTGAGGGAAAGATGGAGCACGAGGTCAATAAGCGGATTGGAGCTGCGTCTGCAGTGATGCAGGGGTTGTACTGATCTGTCACGGCAAAGAGAGAGCTGAGCCGGAAGGCAAAGCTCTCAGTTTACCGGTCGACGTACGTGTCATGATTCAAGAGACCAGGTGAGGTGAGTGCTCTTCCTCAATAAACCATCTTTGAGGTTCTTTTCAATCAATCAATCAATCGATCAATCAAAGCTTTATTTATAAAGCACCTTCCGCAACCCTGTCAGGAAGCCCAAAGCGCAAACATTTCTTCCACAGGTGAGGAGCGGAGGGGACACCAGCTGAGCTGGATTCACAATCAAAGGCTCTGGTATAAAGGGAGGATGGAGACACCACTCGACGCCAGATGATTGCTACAGTTTTGGTTAGCCTCTGCCACTTGGATCTCTGACCTTGGATTGTTTTTGGATTATGACTTTGGACTCATCTCTGAACCCCTGTCTGCTTTGCCCTGTTTAGGAACCACTACCACGTCCATTACCTTCGCCGCTAGAACCCCGGATCTCCAGGACTTCGTCCCATCCTCCTCCATGGCTCCTGCCCTTCCCCTCTCCGCTTCCTCACCCACCTCACTCAACTAGACCCTGTCCTTACTCACCTCGGCTCGCCACCTTCCCCGCTGTTTGCGGAACTTGAACTCTAGACTAACGCCTTACGGCACCCTACTCACTGGACTTACTAGTGCGTCCTTAGTACCCGTTTTCATACTAAAAGACTTTATTTTTACTTACTCCGAGTTGTCGTGTTGATTCTGCATGTCTTGGGTTAGACGCCTCCCGCAAGTCATGACAGCACGTTCCCACCCTCACCTATGGTCACAAGCTTTGGGTAGTGACCGAAAGAACGAGATCGCAGATACAAGTGGCTGAAATTAGTTTTCTCCACTGGGTGGCTGGGCCCTTAAAGATGGGGTGAGAAGTTTGATCATTCGGAAGGGGATCTGCATAGATCCACTGCTCCTCCAAATCAAGAGGAGCCAGTTTAGCTGGCTCAGAAATCTAGTTAGAATGCTTCCCTGGTGATGTTTTCCGGGCACGTCCAAACGTGAGAAGACCTAAAAGGAAGACCCAGGACACGCTGGAGAGACTACGTCTCTAGGCTGGCCAGGGAATACCTTAGGATTTCCCCGGAGGAACTGGCCTAAATGGCTGGGGAGAGGGAAGTCTGGGCCTCTCTGCTTAAGCTGCTGCCCTGTGACCCGACTCAGGATATATGGCTAAAAATAGATGGATGGATGAAAAAACTGAAATATAACATGGTCCTAAGTATTCAACCCTTTGCTGTGACACTCATATATTTAACTCAGGAGCTTTCCATTTCTTCTGATCATCCTTGAGATGGTCCTACACCTTCATTGGAGTCCAGCTGTGTTTGATTATACTGACTGGACTTGATTAGGAAAGCCACACACCTGTCTATATAAGACCTTACAACTTACAATGCATGTCAGAGCTAATGAGACTCATAAGGTCAAAGGAACTGCCTGAAGAGCTCAGGGACAGAATTGTGGCACAGATCTGACCCAGATTACAAAAATTCTCTACTGCACTTAAGTTACTTAAGAGTACAGTAACCTTTATAATCCTTAAACATCCCAAAGACGTTTGGGACGACTACAACCCTTCCTAGGGCAGACTGTCTGGCCAAACTGAGCTACTGGGGGAGAAGCGCCTTGGTGAGAGAGGTAAAGAAGAACCCAAAGATCACCTAGCTGAAATCCAGACATTATTTTTTGTTACAGCAATGACATTGAGTAATCAAACTAGAATTTGAAGGGTTAAAATTGTCTAAATGATTAGATTTATATAGGTTTGCACAGGGAAGCAGGGAAGTTGTTTAACAGCAAAACGAAAAAGGAATGTAAACATTTTGTGTAGCCACTTTTACGAGCAAACATTTATGTCTTCAAAGGCCACAAGAGGGTAGTGTTTTATTAGTGTTCCCTTGTTCCATTTTCTAAATTCTAAATTCTATTTCAACAGTTGTCGAGAGGTTTTGAAACTAAATTTGATACAATTTGCGTAAAAAAAAAAAGCTAAAATGGCATCCAAACAAAAAAGGAAAAACTGCCCAAAGGGACTAAATTTACCTAATGACGCCTGAGGGTTAGACCTTATTGAGCATCTCTGGAGAGACCTAAAAATGGCTGTCCACCAACGTTCACCATCCAACCTGACAGAACTGGATCTGCAAGGAGGAATGGCAGAGGATCCCCAAATCCAGGTGAAGGAAACTTGTTGCATCTGTACAAAGATGACTCATGGCTTAAAAGGATGCTTCTACTAAATACTGAGCAAAGGGTCTGAATACTTAGGACCATGTGATATTTCAGTTTTATTTTTTAATAAATCTGCAGGAAAAAAAAAATCTGTTTTTCTGTCAGTATGGGATGCTGTGTGTACATTTCCGTACCCACTGTACGTATCACGGTGTGTGAATTCCAGGGCTACCCTAAATTGTGGGGCTTTACGACGTCGTCTGTAGAACAAAGAATACTGATGTAGAGGAACTGGTTGAAATCAAAACAAAGCCATTGTTTTCCGTTTGAAAATCTCTTTTGCAGGATGAATTTAAATGGTTAAATATGGGTTTTCCTACCCGATTCTGGTCAGTTCAAAATCCCGTGCCTGGATCGGAGTATTTCTAGTTCTGGCTCCCTACATTTAGATGTATAACATTTAAAAATCTGTTCATGTACAAATACGCCTCCAAGTTTTAAAGTCACTCAAATTTCAGTTCTCCATTACAACTTGTATCTGCTGACACAAAAAGAAATTAACATAAAAATGGGCTAGTTTTCTTCCACCTACACTTTCATTTGTATTCATACTGAGAAAGAAGACTTATTGTTGACTCCTAGGATTGAAGTACCAACGTTCCAATTTCCTATTTAATAGTGGAGGAGTGGAGCTGTGAAACGAAGGCTTCATGAAGCCAAGGTGTAAAGGAGAAAAGAAGGAACAAAGTCAATCTAGGGTGAAATATAAATGTATACAATAAACATTTTTTTAAATGCCAGTTAGTGAAAACCCGATTCTTAAGCTGTGCTCGTTTATGTTTGTGACCGCTTTACCTGCTCTGAGATGGGCCCTGCTCCTGGCACATAAGATGGCGTTGAATTTGGACTCATCTGTACCCAGTTTGTTTTCCCCAGCAGCATACAGGGCCTACAGCAAAATAAGAATCATGTATGCACACATGGTGTCAGCAAAATAAATAAAACATAAACAAAGACATAGATTTCATAATTGGTTAATTAAGCTAAAATGGGTTTTCATTCTGCTTTGCATTTGGTTCTGCACCAGTGAAAACAATCAGGACTCCTACTCTAAAAATAGGCAGCATTGAACTTGCTGCTTGTAATAAATTAGCCAAGCGCCCAGCCCTGCAGCATTCCCCAACAGGATGTTCTCCCATACTGTAAATGAGTTCTTGTGAGGGTGTGTAAGGCGGGGGTGACATCAAACCGGTTTCTTGTCTGCTGGGTAATTGATGATCACAGCGTACGAGTCGCTTGTTTTAAAACTCTACACTGGTAATCACAATTTAACTTTTGTTTTCATCCATGCACAAGTTCAACCTGAAGCTTTTTGAATACTTTATTGTAACTAAGCGTACCAGCAAGAGATCAAAATGTGTTCCTGCTTGATACAAAATGAAAATTATGGACGCCTTTTTGTTTTGTTTGACTTTTCCATATCTGATGCCTTCTCCAGTATTTGAAAAGATCACGTTCTGAATCCAATGCAGGGTTTTTCCTGGCTCAAACTGAGGCAGAGGTGGTACCATCCTGACCATGCGCCAGCACATGCATACGCTGTGCATTCAACTACCTCACTTTTTTTAAAGGCAAAATATTATAAAAGGCTCAATAACGTGCATTAGATTAGTGTTTAGTTCTCTTTTTTCCATCTGATATTTATAGTTAAAATATTTTTCAATGTTTGACCTACATTTCAGTAACATTTTAGGTTTGTATTAACACCAGTGGCGTAGATTTGCTCTTGACAGTGGTGGGGATTTATACATGTACTCATTCGTTAACTGCCCATCACTCCATTCATTCATAAGGTCACCACTCATTTTAGGTAGAATACTTTTTATCCACACATTAAAACCACGATTTTATATTTAAATATATATATATATGTATGTATGTATATACACACGGCCGGGAATTGATTAAAATACATTTAATAATTACTCGAAATTCTGAAAATAATTAATCGCAATTAATTATAATTTTTCCAGAAAAAGCGAGCAATAAATAAGCAAATAAAAAAAGAGAGGTTCATTTTATTTAGAAAACGTGTTGAAGTGTGTAAAATCACTGAATACTGTCTTTAACAGAGAAAACCTAAAGTCAAATCCAGTTTCTGTTCAAAAACATTGTTTGAAAAAGTCTATTGTGTAAACAGTGAACAGGAAATAAATCTAGCACAGTTAGCTTATGTTATTCTATGTAAATGTCATTTTCCACAGCATCAGTTCAACTTGGGTTGCCTATTCCCCAAAAAATAAATAAGAGACACCTCGCTGGCGTGGCCCCCCATATGCTTTGATACGGCCCTGGGTGGAACAGAGTTTTGAAGGTGATCTGAACTGTATGGAATATATCAATATTATGAGCTTATAAATAATATTTACTTTATAACGTTAAAACATGTAGTGGGGTAAATCTACCTACATTTTCCTTTCCAAGCTCTTTGTTTTGTTTTCTTATTATTTGACTATTATCCTGTCCTGTCGGTCTCTGATCCTGCATCTGCCACAGGGAGATGCAGGATCTAGTTCTCCAGAAGAAACGCTGCCTTGACTGCGGCTGTGGAGCACGGGTGATGAGCGCAGCAGTGATGTACGTCAGCCATGAATAAAAGACAGAAAGTACCAAAGCAGTTAGGAACGATTGTGTGTTAAATATATATTTGGTGGCGCCACTTTGAGAATGTTACTGTGCCTGTGCGCAAGACGCAGATGTTGGTGGAGCGCATGAGCTCCACCGACATCTGTGGAGCACACAAGAGTGATTTAGAACGTTTTCCTTCTAGCTTTGGCACTGCTAACCAGCGTAGTTTGTCATGTGAGTCTCACGTGACAACATGCGCGGCCAATCACATCAGCCTTATGCGTTACGGAGGTAGGACTCGAGGAGAGAATGTCATTTAGCACTTTCTGTACCTCTAGGATAACGAGACATTTGACAGGCTTGTTTTTTTAGCGGAGGCGGTCAGATTATTGGTGGGGACTATTTAGTCATCACTGGATATTGGTAGGGACATGCCACTTCCGTCCATGCCAAATCTACGCCTATGAATAACACTCATCTTAGTCAAAATAACACATAAATATATCCAGTAAAATATAATGGATTTCATTAACACGCATTTGTATTGGAAATGGTGATAACATTTCATTTCTGCTGCTAACAATGTAATGGTGGCATGTCTATTATGTACGGGCTTGCAATAATCCAGTTTAGATTATGTTCAAAGATAGAAGCGTTTGTGAATTACATACTACAATGGCTTGCCGTACTTCCTGCTCCTGTGTGTGGAGCAGACTTGTAGCAGTAATGTGACTCGTACCTGCAGCGGTTCTGATCCATAGCGCTGCAGCATGCAGAATAAACAGCATGGTTGGGACTTTTTGTCCGCTTGTAGAGTTTAGTCTTTCTTAGTTTTACAATCATCTTATATTTTTCTGTGCGCCACTTCATCGTGAGACTGCTACCCATTAGCTTTAGCATTTGCCAATCTGCGAGTAGCTGCACTTTTGATCCCAAACTTTGGACCGGTTCTGCCTTTGTGCCTTTGCTGGTTCCTTTAGTTTCCTCCACTGCATCCAGATTACCACACTGTGCACCAGTAAAATGCATTTTTCTTACACGTAACTTACGTTTGTTTACTAAAGTTCTGGGAAAATAGTAATTCAAAGATGATGCACCAGTGCTACGTTTGAAAATAGACAGACACGCACAGTTTTTTTCGTCGCACTGTACAGCCCTGCACTGATATGGAAGAGCCTGGGGGAAAATCAGTACGTCAATAGCACCAACCATAGATATGTACCAACTAGTGAGAAAAGCTACTTTTTGACCTTTTTCTGCAGCGGTTTGAGCACATTTTGGTGCACCGCTGCTGATACAGCGCCCCTGTAGTGGTGCAACGCTGCAACTGCAGTTAAAATAACATCCATATAGCTGGGGGCAGAGTGAAATCAGGCTGGGACGGCACAAAATTAGCTGGAGGCGGCCGCCACGCAAATTTGAACGCAGGAAAAACCCTGCAATGGGACAATGAAGTCACTAGCACACAGTTTTTATACGGCTTGTGAAGCTTATCAGACCCCAACTTATTCTATATGAAGACATACGCACACAGCTGTTTTTAATTTACAAACAATTATCAGATTTGCAAATGCACCTGAGCGTCTTGCTGAGCCAAGGAGGCATCAACGGTCTCTCGTTCATCCCGGTTCCCCTGAAGGATAATAAACATTTTTCTAGTAAGTAAAGTTTTTATATAGTATCTTTCAGATAAAAACCACAAAATGCTCCAAAATACAGGAAATTTAAGTTCAAGTGTGATTTAAAGGAGTCAAAAATTAAATATAGTGGGACGCTAAACTCAGTACAATGTAAAAAAATAAAAATAAAAAAATGAAGACATTCAGTCTAAAGTTTGTTGAACTTCAATTGTTTTATCTGGTCCTTGGTATTTATGATTCTGAACTTTATTGTGGTAGCTGCTAAAACTAAACAGCAGGTAGAGAAAAGAACATGGATCACAGTTTTACCTGGGCCAGAGAAATTAGGAGCCGGCGGAAGTGGCCTGAAGTTTCACTCTGAATGGCTTCTTCAAGGGACTTCTTGTGCTCTGCATTGAAAAATGTAAAAACTTAGTTAACCGACACGATTCTAACAGTTCTGGATAAAGGCAGATTACTGTAGGATAAAGGACTCGAACATAAACACAGCAGCAGACATACTTAAATGAATATTTAACTGAAAACTAATGTATGGTTTCATGTAAAGCCAATCTTAAGCCAGTGTGTGATGGAGAACACACAAGAGGACAGCGGTTGTGTTGCTTTGCAGCATCGCACCTGCTTTGTAAAGTCGATTTATCTCTTTGATTTGCTCGTTGGAGCGAGAAGACAAGATCTCTATCAGACAGGCCTCATCTGTTCCAGCTCCCTGTCAGCAAAACAACACAAAGACAGACCGAGGGTTTGCTACTATAGTCTTTTGACAGCCAAAGAATGTCTGTGTTCGTACAAATATGCAACATTCACAAGTTTCTAAGAATTCACCTTCATGGCACTGCGGAGTTCAGAGGCATCAAACTCAGCTGGGGTCTTCAGCAAGGACAAAACCAGCTTCCTGAAGTCTCCAGAGAGTTCTGATGTTAGGTCTTTAATCAAATCCTGTAAAAAATAAAAATAAAAAAAAGGCAACAACTCAGAGCTGCTGCTGTGTGCAGCTACGGTGACCTTTGAGGAAATCTAATCCTCCTTCCATTTTACTGCAGCACCAGCACCTGTTGTCTGTTTGCCACATGCTTCATGCAGAGCCTCGTAATGAGCAAGGATCCATGTCTGTTTCATGTTTATAAATAGTGGGCCATCTATAAAAAGCAGGTTCTTCTCCCAGTGGAGAACTGTGCAATCTATGGCTAAAATAACATTATATAATCCCAAATGTAAGCATAAAGAGGAGTGTTACCTTCCCGTAGGAGGTCTTGTAGGCTCGGAGCAAAGGAACGCGCTGCTTATTGGAGCGACTCCCCAGTAACTCAATTATGGCTTGTTCATCAGTTCCTGCAGACAGAAATCACATAAAATAGAGAGAAAGGTGACTTAGGGCCAAAGATTTTTCTTTATTATTATTCTTTTTGTTTACTTTTTTATTTTTTTGCATAAACAAAACTTCATATGCAATGAATATTGAAAAAATAAGATTACAACCTAAACCTATTCTATCAAGAGCTAATAAAAGTAAACGCTGTTACTTTGATGAATAAGAATGTAATTGATCAATTATGACCATTTCATACATACAAAATTCTAAAATGACAAAAGTTTAGAGTTGTTTTATAAGGATTCAGTGAACTTCAGCTTAATTAATTAGTTGAAACCACTGATGGGTCAGGAAGACGGTTTGGTAAACTGGAACAGCCTTGTGATGGATCAAAAGACTCACCAAAACCCTTCATGGCTTTCCTCAGGACCTCTACGTCTTTGAGCGGGTCGGCTCCAGGATAGTCCACGATTGTTCCCCTGAATCCTCTCTGGTATAAAAATATGAAAATACCCATAATGCCTTGCTGTTAATAACGGTTTTGTCCATCCATGGACTTTAGACATATTAGGGCTGGGCGATATGGCCTAAAATCAATATCACAATATTTTGAGGATTTCACCTTGAAAACGATAAATGGACGATAAGTACAGGTACGCACAGAAACAAAAGTTGTCCACTAGATGGCGCTGTCATGTGTATTAGGTTGAGTCACACTGTCACATGAGGCGGTACAGCTTCTTAAAGGGACATGAACGTCACCAACCAATAACATATTTCCATTTTTGTATTATCGAATTTACTGACGTGAAAAATGATATCGATTAGTGTCAGAAATTTCGATCGTGATAGATTTTTGATTTATTGCTCAGCCCTAAGACATAGATACATGTTTTAGCAGACTGGTTTTTTTCATCATCTTACATTGATGACAGGGTTCACTGGCATGGCTCCACCACCAAAGGACGGCACTGGCGGATTCAGTGATGGGTCCGTTGGATATCCTGGCATGGGTCCTGGTCCTAGTCCAGGCGCTGGAGCGGGTGCTGGGCCTCCTCCATAACCAGGCATGGGAGGGTTGGGTGATGGTGCACCAGGGTACCCAGGCATTGGCTGACCAGGCTGGCCTGGCTGGCCAGGGTAGCCCATTCCGGGCCACTGCTGTTGGGGCATGCCCCCCCCAGGCTGTTGGTACAGGCCACATGACTCTTGGTTAGGACAGAAGGCATCATACCCACCAGCTTGTGGGGCAGGTGGGTACCCTCCTACTTGCGGGTATGTGGATGGGTTTGGAGGATAAGCCCCCATTCCTCCAGCCTGTGATAGGGAAAGATTGGCACCCCATAATAGAAAGTCAGAGCCTTTGTGACAAATGTAATGAAAAGCAGAGACAGCTGCTCCCACCTGGATGTATTTGCAGAATGAAAAAGATCTGAATCTGACTCTTTTATGCAATAATCCTTTGACCTTTGCTCCAATGTCAGAGAAACTGAAGTTGATGTTTGTAACATTTTCAACCTCAGAGTTTATCGATCATCAAAATCAAATAAAGTGTGGTCATGCTAATTTAAATGTACTTTAATATATCTTTAGTAGGCAAAAATGAGACAAACAAGGCAAAAGAGAGGAAACGTTAGAGATTAATGATGAAACTAAAGAGCCATGGTAAGAGTTTAACAAGAAACATAGCTGTCACGCAAGAGAACTTGAGAAATAAACTGAGAAGGAAAACTAAGATGACGATGATGAATTTAGGATGAATACTTATTAAAAATAATCTTACCGTGACGTGAAAAGACAAGATATTCCTTTTAAATCTGTGTAATTAATTCTAAGTGAAATATTTAATGTAGCAATCCAACCACGAGGCACTACAGGTGTACGTTCAGAATTCTCAGGTGGATGTTCGAGGCTAAACTTACCATGCCGTATCCAGTGTTGGAAAAGCCGTCCAAACCGGGGGAGGGGTATCCACTGGTAGGGCCACCTCCCCAGGACCCTGCAGCCGAGAAAAAAAAGTGATTGCGTGACTAACTGTCTGATGAAAATGACTCAATTTTCACAGAGACAGAATTCATTCCAGCTTTATTAGATTACCCTGCAAGCACAAAAAAATCTGAACAGAGAATAGGAGCAGCACGCGAACAGACTAGAATTTATTTCACTTGGAAACAGCTGAGATGGGTTTGCTTTCTAGGATAAATAGATCCAGTCATTTGCCTTTGCTGCTTACAAACACAACTAGACTGGTAAATGCTCAGTCAAGCAGCCTTTATACCTACAACACTTCCCGTGATTATTTTAGGATACACAACTAACCATGGAGGAAAAGGCTCAAACATTTTAGGAAATAGAGATCACATTCTACCAATTATCACTGGATTATTCAACCCCATGCCAGACTGAAAAAGTAAGTAAGTAAGTAAGTAAAAGTTTATTTATATAGCGCCTTTCACAGATATAAATCACAAAGCGCTGTACAACATGATAAAGATCAGGGCAAATACCTCTAACCAATATAAACATCCAAAAAACAATAGCAATGATAAAGTAGAAAATTAAATCAGGAGTATAAACAAAGTGAAGGTGTGAACCCAAACAAAGCCATCTTTTTGAAACATTTAGGGAGGGAATGCCTGGATGAAAAGGTGAGTTTTTAGATGATTTTTAAAGACCTCTACAGTGTTAGAGAGACGGAGATTTGAAGGCAGACTGTTCCAAAGTCTGGGTGCAATAGTCTGAAAGTAAAGAAAGCACTGCTGACAAGAACATGTAAACATAGCATTTCACTTAAAGGGTTATGAAATAGTAGAGTCTAAATACTTCATTTGTACTTGATGATGGTGTTTTATTTACTTGACACCAAATTTGAAACCCATTGTCTAAATGTACTAAGTTTTAGACGAACATCCTTATGTTATCACATAAATATGCTTAATGTTTACTTACCTGGGGGAGGTGCAGGTGGGTAACCTCCAGCCTGAGGAGGGTAGGCACCAGGCTGAGGAGGGTAGCCGCTTGGCTGTGGTGGGTAGCCTCCTCCTGCTTGGGGAGGGTAACATCCTGGCTGAGGAGGGTAAGCAGCTGGTTGAGGAGGGTACATCCCCGGCTGTGGTGGGTAGCCACCTGACTGAGGGGGATATCCTGGATAGCTCATTCCTATGAGCGTTAGAAATAAGAAGAGTTAATTCAATTAGCTGACAGATATGAGAAAATAACATACTGTGTTGCTACCATGAGAAAAAAAAACTAAACAATGAAAATACCTTGTTAGGGAACGTTAGTTTAAAAAAAAGCGCATAAATAAACATAACAACAAAGACTAAAACACACCCCAACAAAGACTAAAACACACCCAACTATGAACCTGATTTGCTTCATTTTTTTCCCACTGGACTCACTTTTCTGACCAGGGTCATCGTTACTACTAACCTTTAAGGTCTGAATTTGTTCCAGTTTGAAACAAGTAGATCTCACAATCAAAGCCTATTAAGATTTTTTTAATTAAACCTGGGTTCTATTTCAAATTATTCTTAATAATCTGACACAAAACTCTTAACTAAATCAATTGATAACTATTTTTTTCTTGTTTGTTTTCTAGGAATGCACATGTAGTGCAACTTAATACAGGGAATGCTGCTCAATACTGAGGGTGTTTGACCAAAACCATTGGTAGTCAGGTAGTATGTGGTCATGGACAACTCTGATTTTGGTTAAGTTTAGAATAAGCAAAGACAGGCTAGATGAGTCCATGGTAACAGAGACAGATGTGGGACAGTCGTGATGATTTACATTACATAATAAAATACATCTATAAGTTTGAATGAGCTAGCCGAGATACTGAGATATCCTGGGAAGTCAAAACAGATACAGAAGTATAGAAGCCTTTCAATTAAGTATTTTATTGTGTAATTCTGGAGTCAATAAATGGGCAATAACTGATATTTCTACATTTTCATCTGAAGCCAATTTGTTGATGAGTAACTGGAAAATATTAATACCTAAACTATAAAATCCTTCCTTAAACTTAAATTCTATGATAAAGAGATTCAATACTTAGGTCTAAACAGATCTCATTTCAATGTTTTCAACATACCAACATCTTTCATAATTCAGCTCTTCGGAAAAGCAGTGAGATAAATGAAACCATTACAACTTTGTGGGTTAAAATATGCCTAAAATCTGTGTTTGTAAATGAAACCGACATAAAGATAAATGACTCTGATAGGGAGAGGATAAGTTACACAGAGCCCTGCCTGGGGCCTATGAACCTTGAATTAAGACGGGACAAGGCTACTTCCCGGAACTGTCGAACACTGTGCCTTATCTTTTATTAGCGTAACGGCTAAAATACCGGAAGCAGTGCGACAACTTTATATAAATATAAAAACCTAAAAGTACTACATAGACTTTTATACGACTAAATAGGCTATATATTTAGATGGCTAAATAACGTATTCAGACCAACGTTTAATCACCACCGGAGTTACAGTAATACCACAACGACGACCCAAGCAGTTCGGATTTAGTTCGTACAGCTTCTCGATAGGCATTCGTTTTTGGAAATGTTTGATTAGTTTTTCCGATGAACTTACTGTTAATTTTCCAGTTCCTCCCTAGAATGCGTAAAGACTTATTACCAAAGGATCTGTGCTCTTTAGTAGAAGACTGACAGGGTTTAACTCAGGTGGGTGGAACTCATAGTTTCCATAAAAGGCGACCCGCCCTGTATGGGGCGCCGATTGTAAAAGTAGTACAAATATTTAGTATCAATATATAAAGTTATATAAAAGATTCAAAATGGAATCTAAATATACAAAGTTAATATGAATTATTTAAATCTTAATAAAATGTAACCAAATATTTAGATTTCATTCTAAAGGTATAAAGTTTCCTAGTCCCTAATAGCAAAGCAAGCTCCTTTAAAGAGCAAGTCAACCCCTACCAGAGTCTAACTCCACTCCCACTTCATGTTTGAAAAATGCAACACATGCTGTTGCCTGGCAGACCAAGAAGGCGGAGCCACTAACAAATACACACACACACAGGCTCACGACAGCATTGTGACATCATAATGTACCAGTTTACATCATAGCTTACCTCTTAGCCAATAGCGGTGGCAGATTTAAATTAAAATACAGTGCAGAGTTTTCACCTGACAACGGCACAACACTGCCAGTTTTAGGCAGAATATTTAAATTTTAACTAAGATGCACTGAAGTGCCAAATTATTGACTACACGTGTCTGCAGCACGATTAGACACTCATTTCAATCAATCAATCAATCAATCAAACTTTATTTCAGACAAGGGATATGTCCATAACAAGAATAAAAAAAAAATAAAAATAAATAAATAAATAAAAAAAATAAAATACAAACACATTCTAATTACAAACCGTATAGGCAGTTGCTCCAATGTTTAAAAAGGACTGAGGAGTACCTCGTGTCACTGTAAGATAAAGATGACAGAGCTCTAACAACCGCGTTAGCTGACAAACTCAGTCGGCAGATGAATTTGTACATGAAGAGCCTCAGAAGCGCATGAAAAGTTGGGATGTTACTCGTAACAAACATGTGACTTGCCGAAGTCCATCTAGGGAGCTTCATGAGGATTCTAAAAGCATCCTGATAAGCCACTTGAAGCTTCTTCATTACTACCTTACTATAGTTGCACCACAAGTGGGCTGTATAGAGAGGAGTACAAAAGGAACGAAAGAGGGACACTTTAACAGGATCTGAGCACATGCCAAAGTTACGTGCCAGAGTGTTAGCCTGCATGTACAGCTTACCACACTGCCTCTTAATGTCCTCGTCATCACAGAGGTCACTTCTTAAAATGTGCCCCAAATATTTTACTTTGCTTACCACTTCCAGGACCTGATTTGTTAAGTTAAAAGATGGAAAATTAAGCTTCAGGTCCCCTTTAGTAGCAGCAATCATAACCACACTCTTTTTAGGGTTAAACAGGATGTCAAATTGCTCACCATACTTAGCACATGCCCTGAGCAGCTGCTGCAGGCCTGCGCTATAGGGAGACATGAGGACTAGGTCATCTGCATATATTAAATGATTTACCAGTCGGTCACCCACCAAGCATCCAGTCTTACTAGCATTCAGAGTAACAGACAACTCGTCAAGGTACAGGTTAAAAAGGACAGGTGACAGAATCCCGCCTTGTCTGACTCCATTTGATACGGAGAAAGGTTCAGACACTTCTGTCCCCCACTTTACCTGCATTAGTTGATGAGAGTACCAGAAGTGCAAAATCCTAACTAGGTAAGAAGGGACCCCTCTGTTTTGTAGCTTGATGAATAATTTCTGATGATTGACTCTGTCAAAGGCCTTAGAGGCATCTAAAAAACACATAAAAACAGAAGTATTATGCCTCATGTATTTGCTTACAGTTTCTTTTAAAGCATAGATACACAAGTCAGTACTAAGTTTACCTTTAAAACCAAACTGATTCTCTGTCGTAGTTATAAAATTTTGCAGTCTTTCCAGCAAAATATGCTCAAACACCTTGGACAACACACTTGCCATAGCAATAGGCCTGTAGTTATCAATACAGGAGATTTTTCCAGTTTTCTCTTTGACTATAGGGACTAAGAGAACAGATAACATATGGTCAGGCAAGATTCCATGCTTCAAAAAGCCGGTAAAGCACAATGAAAGTAACACCTGAGCTCTACAACTAGCATACTTCATGTGCTCTGCTGATAGTTGATCCGGGCCGCAAGCTTTGTTTAAAGACATTTTCTCTATAGCGAGACGGACTTCATCAGCTCTGACAATCATACCATGATTGTAGTTAATGTTGCCAAGATTGAACCTTTCACTATTTACACAGTTAAAAATTCTGCTAAAGTGATTCCTCCAGGCTTCAACAATGTTCTTGTCTCCTGATACCCCATTTATAGATGCAGGTAGCAGCTGCTTACTGATACAGGAGCGTTTTAACTCCTTCCAGAACTCTGAAACATCATTATTCTTTAGTTTGTTCGCTAAGGAGTTTGCCCGCATTGTTTGCTCATTTCTTTTAATATAGCGAACAGCATTCTTGAACTTAACGTTCGCGGCTTTCTTAGACTCCAATATTGAACCGGATTTTGGTTTACCAGCAGCTGCCCAGGCTTTATAGGCTGCTCTGGACTCAGCATGTAACGCATAAGCATGCTCACTCCATCCTGGAAGCGGTTTAAATTTTGTTGCTCCCTTTTGGCAGAGGAACTCGCTGGCAATAATCAAGCTGTCCACAATATTTTGATACAAAGTGCATAAGTGCAGCCTGTGCTCCATATGTTCACAGTTAACATCTCTACACTGTAACGTTTCTTTGTGGACATTAACAGATCTCAGACTACAATCTGACAGTAAGTAATATTTCCTAATATCCTCGACTGACACTTTAGCCCAAGTAAGCTTCTCTGTGTGTGAGGGGCTCTGGTGTTGGAGCAGCACAGGCAAAGATTCACAGTTTACCACTAAGGAAACAGGGATGTGATCAGTTGTTGCCAGGGAGTATAAGATTTCCACCCTGGATATGCATTCATGTGCATCCTCAGTGCATATACAGTGATCAAGCCAGGAAGTTGAGTGCCATGCCTCACTGACATACGTGTGGCTGTCTGCTGGCAGTCTCTCTTTGCTAGTTAAAACCAAGTTATTATTTACACAAAACTGAATCAGATGTTGCCCAAAGGTGGAGCGTGTGTCTGAAATATCAGCATTCATATCACCAACAATAAAAACACAATTAAACTCACACTGACTGATAAATGAGCTTAAAAAACCAAGTTTCGCCAGATATTCATCTTCATTCTGCTGACTCTCATATGGCATATAAATATTTAAGATCATGAATACCTTCTCATCCATAACAATCTTTACTGCTATGCACCAGTCCACATTTAGCCTGACAACAGAAATAAAAGGATCATAATCCTTGTGCCATAGGATGGCCACGCCTCCAGGTATCCTTCCTTGAATAATTCCAGATGACAGATCAGTAGTGGACTCCCCAGCACCAAAAAAATTGCAGTGAAAGGAGTTTAACCGATCCAGGTTCTGTTTGGGCAGCATTGTCTCTTGCAGACATAAAATGTCAACATCTTCCAAAAGTTTATCGACAACAATACGACGTGCCCTATCCCCAGCCCCGTTACCAAGGCGCAGGCCACGGGAGTTATATGACACAATTCTCATGCTTTACTGGATGCTCCCTGAGTAAGTGGCTCCCCACTGGGCCCACCCGCAGCTCCATCTGCAGCCACAGCTCTGCGCTTCTCATAGAAACGCCTCACGAAGGTTCCTTCAGGCCACAGTTGAGGATCATACAGTTCAGATACCTCCTCACATTCTGCCGAAACTTTAAAGGAACTACATCGGCTCTGGTTGTTATTAATCTTTTCACACCGCACCTCACGATGTAGTTTTTCTTTAAGATAGTCAGCCAGCACACTCGGCATAAGATCAGGGCAGAACTTCGTTGCGAAGACACTCACCAGTTTCGTTTTTAAAACTTTGATCCTTCCTCCGGCACAGGATCCCACGACAACATGCCTCTTAGCGAAATTCCGTTTAGGCCTTAGTTGCGCAGGGCCGTCATCTGGAGCCCGCTTTGGACGGCGTCCTTCTTTAACAACTTGACTCCAGGCAGGTGAAGCGTTACTCGGATCCAAACCCCCCACATTATTTGAATTATTTATTTAGTTTATCAGCAAAAAAAAGTTTATTGGGGGGTGACTTGCTCTTTAAGCATACTTCACACTGAAAGCATCAGAGGCGCATAACAACAGCTGAACATCACTGCTTCAAATAGAATCCATTATAGTCTATGGAGTGTTTCAAACCAGCCATGATGTGGCAATTTTCAGGTGTGTCCCAGAAACAATGTGCTGCTAAAGGTGATTGGGTTCTATTTTTGCCATGAGCTGCTTCTGGGACACAACTATTTCTGCAGTTAACACAGGGCTAGACAAGAAATCACATACAGTTTCAGTGTAAAATCCCTGGTAATTTTCAAAATAAAAGTACTGCAGCAATGCAATCTCATAAATATGAATCTTACGAGTGATCTAACGGCTTATTCACTCCCACTAGTATCATTCCAGAAGTGCAGCCGTGTGTTTTTCATGGCTTTAGTCCTGGCAGGGTAGAGAAACAACATCATAGATGACATCAAATAGCATAACCAAAAGTGATTTCCTTCATTTTGGTTTCAAGACAGATTGCATAAACAAACCGTGACCATTGGAGTCTTGAAGGATCTTGTGATCTTGCAAGTCCAGCGAGGAAGCGTTCTGTGGCCAAGAATCAATGTGTGCAATGGACCACATTGAAGCTCGCGAGTAAACCGTTTTGCTGCCGTTCTGCACAGCTTGATGCTTCCCGTGTGAAACAGGGGTCAGACTATTCATTTAAGGTAGAGAAGTTATCTCTACCTGCTTCACCAGAGGACAGAGGGATGGAAGGAAGGTTTGTTTTGGAGGTGAGCAGCCCTGAGCCATATTGTTTCAACGGGTGGCTCATGAGTTGCCTTGCTATTCCAACTACAATTCATTGTGGGGGCGGCTCAAGATGGCGGCATGAGAGGACGTTCTTTTTCAAGCTCTCAGCACCAAATCTGCAATATAATATATTTAGGACTGAAAACAACCGGACGTTTACTGCAAAGTAAGGGAATACTTGTGTGCTTTGTTTTGATAGTAAACGGTAGCTATTGGTGACTGAAACATGCCCAGGAATGCAAATAAAAGACTGAGTGATGCTAACAGAGCATGCTACATTGCTAGTGATCACTGCTATGATGGCGCTACCTCTGGTCAACTGCAAATAGAAAGTAAGGATGAGTTTCCACCGCTACCTGTAACTCCATCCAAGCCACCATTAGCCAAAAAACCAACTGTAACAAATGTCTCCTTTGAAGACTCCAGTTCAAATGAAGTGGTTCGAACTCTTTCTAACTTAATGTGGCAAGGTGGAGAAACGAGGGCCCGGGCGGGATTTGATCCCCATACTCCCGGGTGAGAGTCATGCACACGTACCAGTCAGCCAAAGGGACATCCCCTTGGCCAAGTAGCCAGGGTGCATGATCAGTCAGGACACTGTGACAGGACGCTCACACTGCCACATCTTCCCCCCTCTTTTTCCACGAGCACGTTCTCGTGCTTCCGCGCAGGGTGCCACAATCTTCACCTCTATGGACCTACTTGACAGTACTACATGGATCCTGCCGACAACACCAAATGTGGCAAGGTGGAGAAACGAGGGCCCGGGCTGGATTCGATCCCCATACTCCCGGATGAGAGTCATGCGCACTTACCAGTCAGCCAAAGGGACATCCCCTTGGCCAAGTAGCCAGGTCGCATGATCAATCGGGGCACTGTGACAGGACGCTCACACTGCCACATTAATTAACAACAGAAGTGATGCAACTGAGAAAAGGGTGGAATCTGTCCGCGGTGAAGTGAAAGCCATGAATGATAAAATAGTTGGCATTGAAAAACGAATGGAAAATAATGAAACATCCACCCTGGCATGTTCAAATCGCGTCCCTGAGCTGGATCGTTACAGATGACTTTGGAACCTGAAACTTTACGGTGTTCCAGAGGCTGACAGTGAGGATGTCAGAAAGGAGGTGATCGGGATTTGCCAGGAGCTACTACCTTCGGAGCGGGAAAAGATTTTAGACGCAGTGGACATTGCACATCGATTGGGGAAAAGAAGACCAGATAATCAAAATCCACGGGGTATCATCCTCCGCTTTGTCTCCAGAAGGTACAGAGATGTGATATGCAAAGCAGCAAAGATGTCTGCCTTTCTTCAGAACAAAGGCCTGTGGTTTGCTGAGGATTTAACGAAGGAGGAAAGAGAGCAGCGCTTGAAACTGTGGCCAATCTTCCAAAATGCCCGGGAAGAAGTCAAAGTAGCATATTTTGTGGGAGGGAAAGCCTTTATGAATGGCTCAGAAGCACATGTATAAACTGCAGAATGGATGTTCTGTTGCTTAAATATTGAAAGGTAATCCTCATTCTCAGGGTGCCAAAGCTGTTCTTGGGCATTCACGGTTTGCCTTTTTCCCCACTTTGTTAAAGTTGGTCTGGTGGTAATATGTTTGATTTATTTGGTGCTGATCTCGTTTACATCAAGTAGTGTTTGGGACTTTTCTAACCTGTTAGAAAATTACTTTATCATTTCTTTCTCTTAACACTAGGGGTTACATAATTTAGTTAAGCATAAAGCTATTTTTCTTTATTTGAAAAAGTACAAAACAGATTTAATTTTTATTCAGGAATCACACTCCGCTGCGGATGTGGCAGCTTTTTGGAGAAACCAGTGGGGAAATACTGTTTGGTTCTTAGTGCTCTGCTGGGGTAATTATTACGCTAAAAAAATCGATTTCGGGGAGAAGTCTTACTGATTGTGATCCCAAATAATAAAACTGAATGATAATATTATTTTAGTGGCGAACATTTATGGATATAATACAGCTCTTGAAAATACTAGTCTGATGCTTTATTGAAAATATTCTGGATTGTTGGTTAACTAAAAATCCTACTGCACAGTTGATTTTAGGAGGGGATTTTAACCAAATCTTTGATTATAACCTGGATAAATTCCCATCTACTCATACACGTACTACAGGAGACAGTTTAAAAAAACTCATGGTTAAATTCAATTTAGTAGACATCTGGAGAGTGCAAAATCCAAACAAAAAAACATTTACATGGAATGATAAATCAGGCTCTCGACAGTCTCGGCTGGATTTTATGCTCATATCAGAGTTTTTCGACATAGACATGGTCGATGTCAGTATTGGTCCTTCACCATTAACTGACCATGAATCAATATTTATTACCTTACACCTCACCCCTGTAAAAAAAGGAAATGGTTCATTTTGGAAAATGAACACTTCTCTTGTGAAACATGATAATGTAAAAAGGGCAATTAAAGACCTTATAATTCATTTCTCATCAAAACCCTTCTTGGAAAAGAAATTTGCTAGAAACTGGGAGCTTTTAAAATTTGAAGTGGGTAAATTTTTGAGGAAAATAGGTTCCTCTAAGTCTAATGCTAATAAAATGGAAGAGGACTGAATTGTGTCAGTCTTAATCAATTAGTCTAAGGATCCCAACTTATTATTGATCTATAACTTAATATTATCTAAAGCAATGTAGAGGTATGGGTTTTCTGTTTAAGCTATTTAGTCTATTGGACTGTTAACTTTCCCCCTAGTGTGTGTGTTCATGTTATTCTTCTGTTCTCTTTTATTTTTGTTCACTTATTTTTCACTCGATGTGTTTCAATGACCATTTTATTTTGAACTATGCTTTAAATGTCACTCACTTTTTTATACAATTGTGTTGATGTTACAATTTTACCAATAAAGATGAGTGAATAAATAAATAAATAAATAAATAAATAAATAAATAAATAAATAAATAAATAAATAAACAATAACAAAAATACTACAATTCATTGTGGAGGAGTGGCCTAGCCCAAGACTTGGCTGCTTTTATAGTCCACGGCAGTATGGCTGCAGATTATTCTTAAATGTTTATTAAAATATGTAAAACCACAATTCGATTTGGGAAAACTGTGTTTTTCTTTTCTTTCATAAATGTGTGAATTAAATTGTGTTAAATGTACAAAATGTTGAAATTTATCTTGGCTGGCCGGTAGCTCTCTGGTAGCTCAGCCCCCCTAAACCTCTGATGCTATACTCGCCCCTGCTTTATATTAGATTAGATTTGTCTCTAAATAGATTTAACTTTATTTTTCTCACTAGCCTCTTTTCATGCTGGTGTTCCTGTCATCTCTGTATGTTTAGGGATCGGTGTTTCTCCTTTGTCTTTTTTTAAATCAGTTTTATCATTGTAAACTGTTTTTATTGAAGTTGTGAAGTGCCTTGTGATTCCTTTATCTACAGAGGTGCTATATCAGCAATCCGTCTTCTATTCATATTTTATTCTAAAATTAGAATTTCCTTTTATTATATTTCATTTTTATGTTTAAACAGGAAGCCACATCATTTTGTTCTCTTGATTACGGTTTACATCACTTAAAAATTGTCACACCTCATTTGTGTTATTATAAGAAGATACTTGTGGCTGAATGTGGCTGTTATTTACTTTTACCCTTTACTGATAAGATACACACACACATACGTTTTCTTAATGAACACCACCAACAAAATAAAACATAAACAATCTTCATGGTAATATTTTTAGCACAGGCCAGGGGACTTTCACAGGTGCGCTTATAACAATTGCCACAAGAGGACGCCAAGTTCAAAGGTTATTTTCACTCTAGTGCAGTCCGCCTCCCTCTGCAGGCACAGGCATGCTCAGTAAAACGCTCATTGAAAGATGAACTTGCTGCTTAGTTGCATTTGCTAAATAGTCTCAATGTTTACATGAAGCGCAGAGGACTTAAATAAAGATCTCACAGTCCGCCACTGCGTTAGCTACCGTCCTGTAGTAGTAGTAGTAGTAGTAGTAGTAGTAGTAGTAGTACTAGTAGTAGTAGCAGTAGCCGTAATAATAATAATAATAGTAATAATAATAATAATAATAATAATAATAATAATAATAATAATAATGATAATAATGATAATAATGATAATAATAATATAACAATCCACCCTCGACTGAAAAAACATATTTTGCTCAATCAAGCAGTAATCACACAATAATATTATAAAGGAGCATTAGAATTGTTTCATTCGGTAATTATTTTTATCTGACAAAAATATTTATGAAGCGCTAGGCGAAAATGATGAATATTCACAGACACTGCGCGCTGATTGGCTTTCCCTCCCTGATGACGTCGATTTTGCTCATAACATATTCAAAAAGCTCCTTCTGCCCCGCTGCGTTACAGACAGATAGCGGATGATCATGGGGAGAAGGGGAAAACTTTTTATACTTTTAGGTTAGCGCCATGACTTTTGGAGTAACGTTTAACTGACGTGGCTCCCGGCGCGAGGAGGCCAGGGAGTTTTAGGGGGAAACGCGACCAACACCCGGGGCAGCGGAGCGGAAAAGCGAGACGACTGACTTGGGAGTTGAGAGGAGTCCAACTATCAGCGGTGGAAAATCCAGTTTAACCCAACTTAACTGAAAGATGAGCTTGTTGTCTGCCATTGACACGAGTGCCTCCGTGTACCAGCCCGCGCAACTTCTCAACTGGGTCTATCTGTCCTTGCAAGACCCCCACCAGACCAGCGCTTTTGACGCGTTCAGACCCGAACCCAGCTCTTCCCACCCGGATCTCAGCTTCAGCAAGGCTCCCGCAGCGGGGGACTTGAGCTCTTCCCTCAACTCCAACTATCTCAACAACTTCTTTCAGCTGCAGCGCAATGAGGTGAAATATGCCACCCTACACACGTTAATCTGAGATCTTTGGCTGAATTTAAATGGCAGAGAAACAGAATTAGTGCATCTTTTTATTGCCTGCCTGGGCAGCAAATGTTCCAGGACACAAGATGAGCTATTCTGGCCAGGACATACATAGGCAGGCCATGGTATTTATACTTTTCAGCAATAGCTGTCAATCTTCTTATTTTTTTTTTATTTCTTTGCTTTTAACACTGATATAATTACATCTATTGATAGATTGTTTCCTATCAACAACTCAAAATTTTTAGGTTTAAATGGTTTTTATAGTGTCTAGTTTAGAGAAAATATATTTTTTATGTCAAAAACATTGACAAATTACTTGCAATGAAAGATAATATCAGGATCCTAGAAATAAAACTGCACTGATTCTCGATTTTAGAGCTGATACCGATTTTTGATTTTAGCCAGCTTTGATCTCCTGACACACACTTCCAGTTCATCTCAAATAACTAAAACTCCCAGAATGCATTTATGTTATGATGAACATGAGAATTATAATTATTTGGGTCAAATTGTTTACATAAAAGATGTTTTTACAAGTATGAACCCAGTGATGTTGAGTTCATGGACAAAAGAAGGAGTCTGAATTTTGAGTTTTGCATAGGCTAATCATTGATCAAGTTGGTCAGTTTTAATAAATAAAAAAATTAAAATGACATTATGTAACATTAATGTGTTTTTGTGAGGGAAGTAAAGAGCAGGCAGATGAAAATAGACTCTGCTCTCTGTGTGGCAGCTCCAGTGCTGAGCACTGCTGACTTCTTCAAATAGGCCAGGTTGTGCAAACAAAACCAGTTCATGTTTACATATTGTCTATTTTTGTAGGTTGGAGTCGTTTTTAGGAACAAATATGCAAATAATGCATGCAGGGGATTCAAATCTGATACTCCAAACCATAGACATTAATATGCAGATGCGTCATTGGGCGATGGAGGGCGTAACAGCATTGCTGCCATATTGGATAGGTCTCCTCCCTATCTAAAGTCAATGCAGAGGGAGCAAATATTCCCGTTTCTGTGCAGCCTACTGTTGCAGCAGCCAGTGTACAATTGATATTATATATATATATATCTTGTTTAATTATATTTATATTTTATTTATCATGCCATGCTATGTGTCTGATTCTGTGAAAAGCTTTTTTTTTTTGGTTAGGTAAGCACCTTAGTAGAAATGAATGCACGGGGGCGAATGGAGACAAGTGGTGCTCACTGCAGAACCACAAAGGCGGAGCTGCACCAGAAGGTGGGGCTGCACCAGAGTCAGCCCAATTCCTTCCAGTTGTCAGACTTGATAGCATTCTGGAACCAAAGAGGGTGTTATAGCTAATATCATCTAAAATGCAAGATTGAGGACGGAGTTGAGAAGTTAATTGAACCGTTTTTGTAAAAGTTCCATATAATTAAAAATCTAAATTTTGGAACTTTTTATCATGTTATATTGTCATTTCCTCATAAGAAACACGCCAAAGCTATTTTTGGCCTCATTCACACATTTTCCTCCCATCTCAGCTTCAATTCGGTCCTCTCCTCCGAAGCGGGTCTGGTCTCGGTTCTCAAATCTGGAAATTCTGTGAATTTTCTGACAAATTATTTCTGAAATTACTTCTACTGAGACACCGCTAGAAAAACCATACATCCCATCTACAAAGACACACTGGATGGCACAATTACATGTGACGCCACTTGCTTGTTATCAGATGTAGTGGTGAAGTGGTTATGGAGTCAGAATTGCATGTAGTTTTGCTCAGGTTCGCCTCCCGGTAGTGGCGCAAACTTTTTTCTTCTTTTCTAGCTACACTTGCCAGTACTATGTTTTTACCATTAATTGGTATACCGTTTACAATATAATGACTAATGTGTTTTATTTTTATTCGTTTATTTAGCCAGTGTGAGTCCATTTGTGAGCAGAGTTTCAACTAAAATGCTGGTTAGGAACGACCAAATTCAAATAACTTTTAGAGACATAAATATTTTGCAGAAAATAAACATTACAAGTAAAATATAAACAAATTAAATGCTTCAATAGATTGTTGCCGACCCCACCGAGAGTCGAACCAGCATCAGCTGAGGGGAAACCAAACCTTAAAATTGATGCTCTTGCCACTAGACTACCAGAACACAATAAAAACTGTCCTTAAATGCTGCTTTACCCCAGTTCGGTTGGAGCGGCTATGGACAGATATTCGCTAAAAGAAACCTTTTCATTTCGAGATATAGTCAGGCTTTGTCATGTAGCAAGTTATATTTATCTAGCTTAATTGGAGCATAGAACATAGCATTAACAGTAGTAAACTAGTAACAGCCGTAATTCATGTGGGTCAGGTTAGTTTGCGATAAAATAAAAAATAAAAATAAAAAAACAGAAGAAGTCAGTGGGCTAGGCTGTTTGCGTGAATGGGCGGGGCTGACTCTGGTGCAGCTCCGCCTTTGTGGTTCTGCAGCGAGCACCCTCTCAATGGAGACCCACCTAATAAGGTGGCGGCCGACCACTACGGCAGCTCCAATAGGCAGCGCCAGTCCATGGGGCGTCTACGTATAGATGTCTGTGCTCCAGGCCACAAAACCATGACCCTTGCAGCGTCCCCCCCCCCCCCCCCCCCCCCAACCTCAGACATAAACAAATGTAAACAGCCCATATGAAATTGCATGCTACAAGCATATGGTAGTGTTAAAAAGCTGTGCTGGTTACGCTGAGATTTTAGTATGCATGAGGTCATATATTGGATGGGTCCTGCAGCTCATTATGGTGGTAACCAGAGAGAGCTTTTTGAGTCGTTAAATATATAGAAAAAAAAAGTCTGGAAATGGAGTCTGCACATTATGTATTACATGCAATTGTGTAATCCCATTTGGTCCTCATGGGTTTAAAGTGTTTCAAACTGTGAGAGAACACACGGAGTCTGGAAATGCTTTGGTGGTGGTGCTGGAGGGGAGGGGGCATTTCAGACTAAGCCAAGTAAAATAATCCACTGCAGAGATTTAACGATGAGATGAGTAAAATGTAAAATGTGTTTATGTTTTCCTGTAAGGGATCACACCGCAGATAGACGAGCATGCAGTTATCGAGAGGGTTCTGAGATCTTTGAGTTTTTTTCACGTTTAGTTTTAGGTGATTATTCTAACAGCCTTGTGAACAAATCTACCCGTGTAGCTCTCTCAAGTGGAGAGGATTCTGTAGATTGTGAACACATCCATGTTTGATTAACCCCCTCCGCTTGTGACAACTCACCCCAGGATCGGTTTGAACAGCCACAGATATGCCAGACTTGTTTCAGCACACGGTGAGTGGCGGTGGCACTAGTTTGATGTCCCAACATACCACCTCTTGAGGACCATCGCTCGCGATCACTCAAGACACACAAATGCGTTAAATAAACAATCTCTCCTTCGTCTGGGATGACAAGATAGGAGGCTTGAAGCAAAGTGGGGGGGGAAATGTGGCAAATGTAAGCAGAGCTTTTTTGTATTCAAATGATTTCACAATCGCCTCTAACATGCAAGTTGCAGCAAACACAAAACAAACAAAGTTGAAAAATAACAGGTTTTCTGCTGTAAGTGGGGAGAAATACATAGAGATGAAACACACAGCAGATGGAAAACTCTTGAGAAACTACAGAGCTCTAATGCTTGATTTACTGTGACTACATGTAATAAATGAACACGAGTTTTAAAGCTGGAGCTGTTTAGCGAGACAATCTTACAGCCTCCAGATAAAGAGTTGGCCCTGGGTCCTGGCATAGCTGCCAAGTCTAAGGTTTCTGTGCTGTGCAACATTAAACATCAACCGGAACATTCGTTTTCAGAAATAAACCAAAAACTTATGCATGACTTTGAGTGATGAGGAGGAGTGCAAATGTGGATATCGTAATTCTTACGCACTTAAAGGGGTTTTCACGTCTCAGATGTTTGGTAAGAGTGCAGTTAGACCCTGGGAATTTAAGGCGGACGATTGTTGCTGCAACTTTTCCACAAGGTCAAACTGAAATAAACATATTTCCTCTCAGAGGCCCGCCTCTGTTTTCTGTTTCAGTATTGAAACTAAACTGATGTAATCCTGCACGAGATGGAAAATTCAGGAACTGCAGGCGATGCTTTCCCGGTTATTAATATTCAGGGCATCCTCTGCAATTTCACCGAGTCTCGCTGCATGCAACCCAGCGCTGTGGCGCAGACCACAAACTGGGTTTACCACCAAACTGGTGACATTGGTGATGCTTCGCAGGCTGGTGGGGGCACATGCCTCCCATCTTGTTTACAGTGACTCATCCTTTGTAAAGTCCCATCTTTCTCTGAGCACGCTCGGTACTTTTCCTGCTCATATAAGCACAGCTGGGCCCTCTGTCAGATGTTCTGAATCAAAAGAAGGAAATTATCTCAGAAGGGTTTAGCCTTATTGTCATTCCCCTCACCAAACTGAAATCACCTTTTACAGGCTAATTTAAACGTGACCATGTCTGAAATTATTTTGTAGGCCTTGAACAACAACGTCTATAAGAATGTGTCCCCATATGGCTCCCTGAACAACATCGTGGAAGGACTCAGCTCCCTCACGGACCATTTCTCAGAGCTCTCCCTGTCTTCAGAGCCCAGGAAACCCAACAAACGTCCCCCGCCCAACTACCTGTGCCACCTGTGCTTCAACAAGGGTCATTACATAAAAGACTGCCCTCAGGTAAGACTACTTGTGACACACTTTTGTTACATAATCTGCTCATTAAGTGATACAGACAGCTCATAGTTTACAGTTAAATGCTTTTATAAAATATACTTTTTGTTCTGTTTTCTAATTTTTCCCCGTATAAGTCAGCAATGGTGTTAACCCTCTGGAGGCAGGCGTTACAGATTTGCAACGTTAAAGCCTACCTACCTGGTTACTCCACATACGTATTTCATGAGCATTTTTTAACTCAGAAGTACCCCTGAAGGACTTAAGCCTGATTCATGCTTCTCCGTCAGCTCCGCAAGGAACAGACACGCATGGACTGATGGAAGCGTTTTGCTCTCATACTTCTCCGTCTACTGGAGAGTGTTGCAAAGCAGTTGCCCGGCAGGACAACAGAGGGCGTGGCGCTGTTCTGTGGTATCCTGTCGTGTATCGGTCCAAGATAGTGTGTTTATATTGTGTTTTTTGTATATAAGAGACTTTTTAACACAGACAAATTTGTCTCTCATTCTCCTCCACCTCTTCATGCGCTCGCCACCTCTAAACCCACGTTTCCTGTCATTTCCGTCCACAAATAAAACGCTTGCTGTGCATCTTTTCACTCCTCCAGTCACGGGGAATTAAACGTTCATGTTTTTAGAGTTTTTTCGCGAGGTATTCTTCAAGCTTCTCCGTGTCTGCCGCTTGTTATCCTCGGCTCTCTTTTGTTTTTGAGGGTGCAATGGCAGCGCTGTAAACAACAGCGGCGTCCTGACCAATCACAAGCTTGCGTTGTCCGTCTCGACTGACGGATGTTTAGAAAAGAGAGCTCAACTCCATCCGTCCTTGCGGAGCTCTCCGGCAGGCCCGCAAGGACGTTGCGTGTCTCCGCACTGACGCAGACGGAGAAGCATGAATCAGGCATTAGTTGTTCGTCCTTTTATCAAAACTTATTTTGAGCCTGAGAGGGTTAAAAGCTGGATTCTGCTTCAGTCAGTTCTTTCTTTCAAGCTCTTGTTGAACCTGGTATGACCTACTTGTAAACAGGCTGGCCTCTGTCCTCTGTAGTCATGTGTGTGTGTGTGTGTGTGTGTGTGTGTGTGTGTGTGTGGGGGGGGGGGGGGGGGGGGGTCCATGTGTATTTATGTGCGTCTTAACTGTTGGAGGATTACAAAACTACCCAAACAGATGTAATGGTGATAATAAATGAACCTGAGGTTTGACTGTTGGTTTCATTGAGTTCTGATCAGAGGCTGCAGTATCATGAAACTAAAGGAAATCCACCAAAATACGGTTTTGTGCACTTAAGTTTGTCTTTTGCATACACTTTTAGGAGTTTTATACTTGCAGCAGAAATTCTATTTCTTTATTTTAGTACAGCAGTGTGAGATTGTTAAATCTGCAAAAAGATTTTACATAGAGACTCACTTTCAATCAGATCTTTTGTGTAACCTACACATTATTCTTTCTACAGGGAATAACTGTCCAAAGCATGCCATCAAATGTTTATTAGGGTTAGCATTTCTTCATCGAATTTTATCGATTCGTTGTTGCAGTCCTAGTAAAAATAAACGTTAGTTTGTTAATATCGGCTCATTTTTACTTGTTGGATACAGATATGTTAAAAAATGGCTGACATACTGATATCGATGTTCATGGTGATATTTTGTGTATCCCTAGCTAAAATCTAAGATTTTTAAAGAAAAAAATACCAGTGATAGCCTGTTTATCAATTACTTCTTAACTAACTGCTTAACTTGTGGTCCATTAGTCCCCTACTGTCCAAAAATTTGAATGGGAGTCTATGAAATGTTTTCTGATCCAGGTTTAAATGTGCCATAGATTTTATATGAATTTTAAAGACACGTTTTGATGCCAAGAAAGCGTTAATTTTCGACAAGCGTCAAAAGTTATTTAGGGTTTTGTATGAAAACACGTAAAGGATTTCAACTGCTCATCTCACCGATGGCTGTGAGTTTACCAAAAAGAAACAAACCCAGCAAACATCCGGACGTTTAATCAACGTTGAAAAGACGCTGGGCCGACACGTACCGTCATGGTTGAAAAATAGTTCCAAAATGAAAGTTGAACCGACGTCTTTTCTGGACGTGAATTACACTTTTTGGACGTGAATTACACGTCTTTCGGCTCGTCTCATTTGGACGTTTAATGACCGTCAGTGTACATCTCATCTACACTGTAAAATAAAATGTAGTTATTACATTTAATAATAATTATAATAAATAGAATATTTCTTGCGTCCGACCTTGCTTTACCGATTGACTTCTGAGGTGGACATTTTTGTTTTTTCTCATCAGCGGTCTTACCGGAGAACCCACAGTGAATGTTGGTACCCAGCAAACATGGTCCGATGGCAATGTCTTGTCCACGGACAAAAATGACCGTGGTAGGACAACGTACATCAATTGAAAAAAAAAGTAACAGAACTTTTCCTAAAAATCCATTCAGATACATTTGTATGTCTACTGTTATCTGTGGTTACATGTATAATTGTTATTTTGACAATTAGTTGAACAATTTAACTACATGTAGTTCAACCTAGGCATATAAACATGCATATAAACTAATAATACACCCATTGTATTAAATCGTGACTGGCAACCTATATGTTTGCACATCTAAACTTGACAAAGGTTCTAAAAAGTAAAAAAATCGGTCCAGTAATACCTGAGCATCTGTAATACTTTAAAATCACGTGTAAATCAAACACTGCACTTTGCATTTTAGTACTTAGTATAATTAACTGCATCTGAATGGGGGATTAGGGTTTGATGCATGTACTGGTTATTACTTTAAGTAGATGTAACAAGGACACTGCAAACGTGTGTTATTTTCATTATGGTAGTTCATTACAGATGATGAACAATAACGGGATAACCTAAAAAGCCACACAATTCCAGGACACATTTATTTTTATTCATCTTTTTTAACATCTTTTGAACCTGAAAACTTCTTTTTTGTGACCCCCACCGCCAGCTCTTCCTGGGGCATGCTTTAGGTGTTCCGCTATAGCGGCATCAATTTCAGCTTCTGTGCAATTTGGGCTCCACCTCTTCACAGCATCTGAAGAAGGAGAATAAAACAATAATAATTATCAACAAAACAAAAAGTAGGAAAAATTACATTCAACTACAGTATATTAAATTAATGCTCTTACTAGAGTACAAGCTTTGTCTGGTGTACATGTCTCCAATAGGACATCCCATAATTAACATGTTTGCATCACTCATCAGCCCAAAAGCCAAACACACAAAACCAAACATGATCTAAAAGGCTCCAACACACAAAGTACTTCCTGCTCTATGATCTCCTCCCTCACCAACTATCTGTTAGTTAAGTTCATTAACCAGAGTTTGCTTGAATGGTTTTTTTTTTTTTTTGGTGTGTAGTTTTAATTTCACTTAATTTCTCTGCTCCTCAATTGTGTTTCCTGTCCATCACAGCAGACATTATTAACGAAAATTAGCTCTGCACACCTATGGAGACCAGATTCCGTATCACCAAATGTGGGACAGAAACTTGTGTGGGACAATGTGAAATTTCAATGCAACATGATGAAGTAAAAAAAGAATTTAATCAATAAAAGATCAAATGTGTGCTAGATTAGCGAAAAAAAAGACTTTTTTCACACAAATTTAAGTACCACTGAAGTGTCTTTGAGAAAGACCCTTAAATACATGTGTTACTGAGAAAGTGAATAGGACATTTCTGATAAAGACTGTTGGGCTGTGATGTCTCCTGAATAGATAAAGGAGGCCAAAACATTTGCAGCAATATTAAATTAACAACATATTTTTTTAGATTGGCATAACCTTGAATTACATCATATAAAGGTGTGGCTTTAAATGGCTTCTTCTGAAATTGGCCAACATCCCTCATATTAAAGTTAGCCATGAAAGCGTTTGACATCATTCTGTAGAGAGAAAAAAGTATGATTACTTAACCTTAGAAAATATAAAATAATAAGGTCAACAAATCATAATTAACAGGACAGTATTGTGTATCAATTGCATGCAATGTCAAAACGTACACTTTCACAAATACTCATGTATCATTTAACAAGGGCTTTGATGTAGTAATTATTATCAGTCATGGCTTAAACTTGAACCATGTTTTGATTTTTTTCAGTCTGACCAACTGTCTGAGTCAGTATGACTAATTAACACTTCTGAACAAGTGATTTGTGACAGATTAAAATCAAGTAATAGAAATGACTGGGTTAATTTTGGTTGATAATCCAGGGTTTCCCCCAGGAAATGAGTAAAGCCTGGCGGACCGTACTGTCGGGGTGGTTCCATGCGAGGCTGTGGTCATACAGGTCGCCTGTGGAGATCTAGACTGGGACTGTTAAATTACAACAGAGCCTCGGACTGCTGTGATCGTAGCCGAGCGCCGTGGTCTCTAACATCAGCTCATGCTAACAGATGTTATCTAGGAGGATTGTGTGTGTGTGTGTGTGTGTGCGCGTGTGTGCGCGTGTGTGTGCCTGCTCTGTCTTCTTAATTCCCAAGTAAGTCGTGGCGGATGGCTGCTCAAACTGAGCCAGGATCCTCTGGAGGTTTCTTCCTGTTAAAATGAGCGTTCCTCTCCACTGTCGCTACATGCTTGTTTAGTATGAGGATTGTGCGTCAGTG